ATAAAAATTTTTTTTTTTTTCTCAATAATTAGCCGTTGGTTTTTTTTTTTTTTTTTTTTATTTTTGTCCCAAAAATACAAAAAAAAAAAAAAAAAAAAAAAAAAAAAAAAAAAAAAAAAAAAACTACCTAGGTTAGGTACCTAAGTTGCTGGGTGATGATACCTACAGATCCTTCACTAAAGAGCAGTAACAATTGTGGAGCTATAAATCACGGCTTGGAATAGCATATTATAAAGCCCGCACAGGTATGTCTACGGACATGGCATTTCTTAAGTCGACGGGGAGAACTACAATGTGCTCGACAAGGGCCTTGCCTGCTATACATAAGGTAAACCCACTCACAGCGATAGAAGCGGGTATCTCGGATAGTTAAGGCGCTAAGCGGTGCTATTGATAGCTCGTATCCAGATTCCCGGAAACCCGATCAGAGAGCCTCATACCTAGATCTGGTGGGTACGATATGGATACTAGCACCCATACCTCCTGTAAATACACTACCTCGGGGAAGATTCGGTATTTGTGTGTGGGATAACAGGTAGCGATTCAGGCGTTGTGTTGTGGGTCGTCTATTTTTCGCGTTGTCAGCGTTCGAGGCGAGTGTCATGCCAGGGTGATATTGGCCACTGGAAAAGGAAATGTAGTTACCGTGTAACGGGTTAGTTACATAGGACCCAGCTAAACGAGGAAATCGTTTGTTTCCACCATCCTCAAACGCAACTCGGCATCGATATAGGCAAGGCAGGCATAGCGTCCACTGCAGAGTATATGAAGTTTTCACTTCGTGGTCTATGATAGCTTATATTAATCATTCATCCATTCATCCCTTCATTCATAATCTATAGTCTTTCGCTCAACTCTTCTAAAAACATCTTCTCTTCAGGCGATAAATAAACATCGTCGGAAATAGCCACGTGCCCTCGCGTTATAATTACCTTTGACGGCTCTATGACAATCTTTCCTTCTTCCATGTGACGTGTCGTAGTAGTCTCGAGCTTAGCTCCCGTATCACTGCCGCTATCGCTACTGCTGCTGCTGCTGCTTTTCTTCCCCGGTAATTGCCCATGCTCTTGTTGCTGCTTCTTTCTTCGGCCAACTTCCGCTGGCGTCCACCAGTAAACGGGGAATCGCCTTTGGATATTATTCAGGAGTAGCGCTACGCACTGCATCAACACGCAACCGAGGAGCACAATGGGTAGCAGAAACCATCCTAGGTGCACCACGCTTTCATCAATTACCGCGAGTAGAGCCGTCGCTCCGGCGGGAGGATGCACGGTGCCTGTCAAAGCCATAAACGCGACTGCGCAAGAGCAGCTCAGCGAGCCAGCAACCCACGTAACCTCCATTGACATGGGACCCAGCGCAAAAAGTTTCCTAATAGCAACGCCTATCACGGACGAAAAGAACTGGCCTAAAACCGCATTGCGAGGTTGCGAAAGTGGTGACTCGATCGCATAGAATTCGAGAACCGCAGCAGCGCCCTTGAAAATGAATTATTAGTTATCTTTCCTCCCCATCTAGCTAAGATGGGCTGAGACAGGTCGTTTTTTTAAAACCCCAAAAAGCAGCCCGGTCAGAACTCACAAAACTGCCGATGATGATAGGAGCCCCATGCTCCTCAAAAGAGGGGATGGCATGGCTCACCGCCTCGATGATCAATAGCGAGCAGAAAACCCCAATAAACGCCCAAAAAATCATCGCGATGTTGCCTAACGGTCGCTGGTGATGCTCTAGCCTGTGGCCTAAGAAATGTGCGACAGGATACGGTATGTGGCTCCATCGTGCAGCTGGTATCCACGGGTTAAGGTATTCGTCGATTTCGAAGTGCCATTTCGACAGTTGGAGAGGCATTTGCGTCCCGCCCAGACTCAGTCGGGTCCCGTTTGGAGTTAGTTATTTACCCAGGGTATTATTAGGAACACGAAGCCTGAGGCTAGAAAGATCTGAAATACGGCGAAGAGGATATTAATTAATAGCTACGACAACCCGCCAACAACCGCGGAAAGCGTGTCGGCGGCGGGTAGATCGTATTTATCGGCTCGGGACGTCGTTGGCGCCAGTGGCATTTTACTGATTTAATCTGTTCTTTCTCATTCCATAGGGGAATGGTGTCATGGGGTAAAATAAAAGCCCAGCTAGAAAAAGGTAGAGTAGCTAGAACCAAGGAGTAACCAAGGGACTGAACCAAGAAGAATACCCTAATTTACAGTTCGTGACTAACACATTCAAGGTTCTTCAGGGATAGTCAAGACGCGATGACCAATTGGCCGCCCACCCAGGCGTCATATTGGGTAACGAAAACTCCCAAAATGGATCAGCCCAGCGCGCTGGTTTTAAGTAACACGGGCGCTCCCTGACTCCGTCTCCCGAATGCCGAATAAGTGGGCCAATCTCCGGACGAGATATCTCCGCGGAGCGCGCCTTCCTTTTTTTTTATATAGGCAAATTGATCCCCCCGAAAGCCAGGAAAGCATCAAAGGCCCGAGACTAAGCCAGTGAAAGAAGACATATCGTGTTCTCTGATATTTTGATGTGATTGAAGTTTGATACGTGATGAATTTCATGAATTGCGAGCTTCAACTGCTCATGTTTCACAATAGGGACGCGCGATTCAGGGGTTCGGGAAAAAAAGAAGGGATGGCGCTCACTCAGCGCTCATGTACGACCAACACACACAAAAAGGCGGAATCTCAGACAATGAGGCTTACGAGTAGGGACTTACACACTTATCTCTCTAGATAAGAGGTGTTTTGTATTGAAACAAGGTTTCACCCAGCTACGCATCGTCAGGTAGCCACTTACGAAGACATATTCGGTCATATAAAGGGCTACTCCGACTAACTCTATATTGTAGGTGAATCGAAATGATACAGCACAAAATATCATCAACTAGGAATCCAATAGCCTTAGAAAGTCACCTTCATCTCGTTCAGTATTTGACGATGAATTCTTATGGGTACATCATAGGTACAACGGTACATCAGTGTTACATTTCCCATTTAATAGCACTATTTCTAGAGCCTAGATCATACAACCTTGATGTCCTATCTCCCGCGCTCTCTAGGTCGAGAAAAAAACAGCATTTAGCTATGACGACTTCGTCGCATCAATCAAGCAGATATTAAGGCCAGGTCAAAATCAACACCAAAACACAGAACGAGCCTAGGTAGGTACCTATACAAGGGTTCATATGAACACAGAATGGACGGCCGCTCCTTGTCACCACAGGGCGCAGTTTGAAAAGGAATACTCTTTGCAATTCCGAAACAAAAGATAAACGACATATCGACTGTGATAGTCAACATAATATGCGACATTAGAGATGATATAGTACCTAATCAGCCTAGGAGACAGTTAAACCCCTTGACCTTCAACCTCACTAAACTCATTCCATGCCAAGACTCATACCACTCACATCTTTAAAATTGATACCTAACGAAGAATGCAACTCGTCAGCCCGTCTGTTTTCGAGCCGACTCCAATTTCTAGTCCTCCATGCTACCTTAGGGTAAGGAACCACAACGTCATCATAGCATTTGCTCATGTGCAGCTATGTGGGCAGTGTCGCATTCTACCAACTAATACCTAACCAATTGTCCAATGTCTCCCTCCAGAATACTTAGGGTGACAACGCAGCCGGTCGCATAGACGGCCTTTTGAGGACCTTGTATTTAGCGGCCTCCTTTGGTTGAGTACTCCAACTCTTTGGTTCTTATTTTTCCTCTCCTTCAGAAATACACGAGGTAGGTTAGGTTAGGGGTACACTTCTTCACCAGGCAGTAAGCCGGGTGTAAGATCTTTAACGGTACGGGCCGCGGTAGGTAGGGACCGGTCGGGTTTTTAATTGATAGGTTAAGCGCGCGGATAATCCTCTCACAGCCTCAAAGGTAAGCATGAACGCGGGAAGATGCTGAAGAATTATTGTAGATACCTTCTATCCACCTTAGGAGATATGTACCTAGGTACCTAAATTAGTGTATGTTCCATCTACCACTTTAAAATTTTCTGTAATCACCATCTCCGTCTTAACTGCCTAGTATCTTCGGTGATTTAGTCAGCTTAGATATTCCAGAATGGATGTATCTTATGAGGAAGTGAGGAGAGGTTACGAGTCTACTACATACGTACTATAGTACATCCGTCAAGCCCACTCCTTGAATCATTCGTCTCCAAAGCTCATTAGCTCTCTACCCCGTGTTAGCCGCGCGGTAGGTACCTGAAGAAAAGACTGCAGGTCAACGAGGGCTCTTCACTAGTGGATGATTGGCTTTGCAGAGTTGATTCTAGTAAGTTGGCTTCGAAAGTCTATTGAACCAGTTGTCTGATGAATATAGTTGTCAAAAAATAGGCATGCTCCATCACAGCCTGGTATCGTCGAACAGCAGCGTGCTATTAGAAGACGAGACGGTGGGAGATGTTGCGTAACTGAGAAAGCTGGCACTTTGCGTGATCCTCTTATCGTCGCGCCCATTCTTTCGATTCCGTGTGATTGAGATAGAGAAAGGGCATGCTTGCCATTACCTTAATTACTTATCTCCTAGGTTATGACGAGGAAGCCGATAGCCAGTCTTGAAAGTCTGGTATTGGTGGTGATCTCCTCGGAGTTCCTTACAGAAATAGGTAGGTGGCTATCATATATTCGAGATCCTGAGTTTATATTGCCTTATTGTACTCGTTGAACTCATTGAACTCTACGTTGGCCTCCCCTCCCCACCCATACGAGTTTAGTAGCGAAAACTTTACTCTGTAAAAAAAGAAAGAAAAAAAAGGTGACGCAAGCAAGCAAGAGTAAAGTTTTTTTTAATAATATAAATATTACTCTTTCTCCTTGTCATCATCAATTCTCCACCTGTCAACTTTCTAAGCATCAACTTATTATACTACATTATATCACATCTAAATACTAGTACCAAGTTCGTATCAAACTCGCATGAACAACATGGAGCGTAAAGCTGTTCCTCGGTATACTAAACTTCCTAAACCTTCTCAAAGGAAACGACTTCAATTGTTGATTGACATCTCCCACCCTGGATATGCTCCACCGGCTCCACTAATCGTGCTTCAGGCTCACGACGATGGCAAGCTCTTATATAGTATGGTCTATATCGTCTGTTGCATAATCCTCGGCAACGTATGGGAAAACGACGAGGGTCTCGATCCCTCGAACCAAACGGGGCCTTTCCTATCTAAGTCCGCTTCACCTAAAGAAGCACGCTTTATACCTGATGGGGATTCTATGATCCCGGCTGGGGTCTACTATCTCCACTACCCAGGCTATAAGAAAAGTCAGATCCTCTCATCTACTTATGACGTTACCATGCGCCGCTAATCCTTATCTATAGGGAAGCCATATCCTATTGTGCCTCACTTTGATCATTGGAAATTTCCCGACAAGCTACCAAAATCTTGGGAAAAATTGCGTACTATTGATCCCGCAACGAGTAAATCTACATCTACTACCAGCAGCGAATCCGGCGATGACGAAGCAACTACCTCGGCGTACGACTCGGAACGTCTGCCATGTCCTATCACAGGTCAAGTCACCGTCCTCGAAGCTAGTCATATCCTCCCGCCCACAACAAAATCGTTCATCAGACGCAATAATATGCACAGATACCTGACTTCCCCCAAGAGCGCGGCTACGCATCTCGATCCTGGTAACAATATTTTCATTCGTAAAGATGTGCACGATCTTTGGGATTCAAACGCTATCGTCTTCGTTTCTAAACCCTGCAGTGACAACAGCGACCAGTCGCGTCTATTCTGTCACGTATTAACACCCCCAGGGAAATCTGCGGATTCCGATATGGAAATTCATTCGTTGTACCATAACATTCCCATGATACCGATCCATAATCCTATCGAACTGCTCTTCGCCCGGTTCGCTTGGTCCTTGTTTACCAATACCACCCTCGCACTTTTCAAGGACGATGACGGCAAGACCAAATATTCTGTTCTCCTTCACGATGTGGAGAAGGATAAAATGGTCGAAAAGATGCTCCCGGCTAGTTCCCTTCCTCGATTATCTGTCAAAGCTACAGGCGTTGCGACGAAAGACGTCGCCGGTGAGAAGCACAGTCTTGAGGACTCGGCAAATGTCGAAGCGGAGCCTTCGGACACGGGCGACGTCGCCGATAGCCTCGACAACGTTAGCAGCGAAGGCGATAGTAGCGACGGCGATCGCAGCGGCAGCCCCGATATTGGCGACCTTGGCCTTAACGATGTGGATACCGGCGACCTTATTTACTCGGTCCGAACGGGACAAATGGAACGTTATGATAACGGCGCCGAGTCTGACGATTGCAGCCTCAGTTCACATTGTTCACACTCTTCACGTGACCCCTTCAGTGACCTTTCGGACGACTCAGAACCCCCTCGGAAGAAGTCTCGGTCATCTTAAATCCAACTCCGGCGAAGAATCTCTTTCTAGCGAAGATCGATCGGTATCAAAGTGGAGCTTGGTCCGTTCAAATAAGTTTTTAATGTAGCACCGTAAACTAGAGTTAATTAACCAATCATAAAAAATATTTGATGTTGGTAAATGATGTTGGCTCTATTTTAGGCAGTGTAAACAGGATTCCTTGGCAGATTCTAGGTAGGTTTGCTAAGCCTTTTTTGACAATAGGCCTCCCAGAGTCCCGGTCGAGTAGCATGGGGACTTATATCTATATATCCGCCGGTCCCTAACCCAACATTTAGCCCAAAATTTATTATTAGATACCTATACTAGGTTAGGCACTATTCTTTCTCACCATGGCATCCATCAACATACCCATAATCATCAAGCCTTCCAAGCCGCACACCCACACAGTCATCTTCCTCCACGGCCGCGGAGACAACTCGCGCGACTTCGCCGACTCGCTGTCATACTCGCAAAACTCGCGCAAGCGCACGCTCGTCAACGCATTCCCCTCATTCCGCTAAGTTTTCCCCCAGGCGCCGCTGCGCAAGTGCACCAGCCTGCCCGACACAATATTCCAGTGGTTCAACGTGTGGGACATGAGCAACTTCTCCACAAACGAAAAGCTGCAGCTCGACAAGCTGCGGAAGATCATCCCCGCCGTCCACCGCATCTTAGCCCGCGAGGCCGCGCTGCTGGGCGGCCGCGCCGATCGCCTGGTGCTGGCGGGCATTAGCATGGGCGGCGCGACAGGTGCGCATGTCTTGTTCAACCTGGGCATACCGCCGAATGCTAGTGGAAAACTCGACGCGTTCATCGGCTTCTCGAGCCAGTGTCCGTTTAAAGGCCAAAACCTCGCTAGAATCAGGAGTGTTCTCAGTCTCAAGAACGTCCCGGATAATAACAATGTCATCCGAAATACGCCTGTGCTGCTTGAGCACTGCGTCGACGACCCGCTCGTGTTGATCCAGAGGGGGAGAGCCTTGCGGGATACCTTAGTTGGGTTCGGCGCGCAGATTGAGTGGAAAGAGTATCCCAACGGAGGACATTGGTTCAATTCGCCAACTGGTATAGACGACGCCGTGGGTTTTCTCAACAGGCATCTTGGAGAGGATAGCTTCTCGGGCGGCCCTACACTTCTGCGCCAAGCCTCGTCAAATGCGATGGATCTATCATAAGAGAAGTCGGGTTTTCGGGGATAATTTAGCCACGATCGCGAAGTATAACATGCAATGCTTCTGGTATTACTGAGAGTCTAGAGAAGACCCTTGCTGTCTTGTCCTTTACTCATAGCAAGGTCATAGTTAGGAGGTATACAACTTGAAGTCCTTCACAGGGTAGATTTTTCAAAGTGCCATTTTTTTTTAATATTGGAATCTTACATTGGTTGAGAACTATCTTAAATGCATGCCCTCGGAGGGTATTTGCTAGTGGAATTATATCTCCGACTTCAAAGCCTTGTACAAGATCGCTCGGCTTTGTTAGTAGTCCAGTTTTTGTCTTGTACTGGGTAGATTAACAGCATTGCCGCCTTAGTTCTTACTCTCACCTTTAGAAGAGTCCTAGTTCTCACCCTCGGGATTCTCATTACCCATGAAGGTGTCTCCGCCGGAGCCAAGCGCACTATAAGGACTCTTCTCCTCCTCCTTTGGTTGATTGGAGGACGTTAGTCTTTGGCTACGGACATTGAAGACATCCACGCTTCCAGCCTGCATTTCGCGGATTGTGTTAAACACATTATCCCCTTTGATCTTCTGGCCTTCCTCCTTTGAGGAATCGGATTGGTTGGGGTCCATGGTAACTAGCAAGAGGTAGGGGGGATTGCCTTTAGACTCGCAACTATGAATCAATTTAGCTGTTACTTAATAACACCTACCTTAGGTATCCAATCCGTTTGTGGGTGATGCGATGGCGAAAATGACTTCGGACTCGCCCTTGCTAATATCAATTTCCAATATACGCTCTTGGAGAGTCAATGAGCATTTATATCCATCTCTTCATCTATGGAACAGGATAGACATACTTAATATCTCATTGTTATGCTTTATTTTGGATTCACAACTGATGAAAGGTAGTGGACAAGCTGCATGATCCTCTCAACATGTTGCTCAACACTTTAGGTACACATAGTACAAAAGCACTCGAAGATATTGATGTGAAAGAGACAGAACAAAGGGACTAATTTACAATTCAATTGTTCTAAGAGTCTATTGTTTCTGTTTTCTACTTGATGTACCTGGGTACCAGGTACTTAACCTAACTGTGATTTGACGTGACCTAAACTTGCCAGCCTAAGTGAACGAAATGAAATTCGTAGTTGTGCTATCCATCCAGGACCACAGATTGAAGTGTAAAAAAATTAAATGCCAATGCTTAATTATAACAATGCAGACTGTCTATAAGCCTTCTATGGCTAAAGAGTAGCGAGCGCCATTAAAACCCCCCTATCTACATAACACTCCCTTTAAACTGACTCTAGGGTCGCACGTGCCGTATATCGGGCTTGACCTTCTATCCTCTTACGAGGGAGCCGGCTACCCCTTATATAGGCAGCAGGGCCGTGTTCCAGCCAATCCATCCCTATATGATCACATATTCCTCATATTTATCCCCGAGTTCCCATCTCAGAGCATATCGCAGTGACAGCCTAGCGCGGAGGTACACATGTACAGGCCTGCGTTTCGGGATTCGACGACGGCGAGGATATAAAGACAACAAGGACGGCGGCATACGCGGCCGTGGAAGCAAATATCTCTGATCTCCGCGCATTTGTCAAAACCCCAACGCTCACTGCGAAGAGGACCATAAACATAGCTATCACGCCCAATTGTGCGCTCCCTTGGTTTAAGAGGCGTAAAAGCGCGATGGCTCCGAGGAGAAGGATTGCCGCCGCGATGGTGCTGACTATAGAAGTTACCATGGTAACATGGTCCTCATTGATATGTTCGGTTCGATCTGTAATTTTCGTTGTCTTCGGCCGTTAGCATACCTTAGGTACCGACAGGCAGAACCCAAGACCATTACTGACATCCGATCCAACCCTAAGGCGAAGAGCAGCGCCGGGAGTTGCCACAACTTAGATCCGCATGAGGGTTGAATTCTACCACGTTGATTCGAGGATAGGTACTAGGTAGATTATTTGGTGTTAAGTGTATTTGAATTCAGTGATGGGTCGTCGTTATGAGGAGCGCATCCTTCTTATTCCTGTGCGGGTTAAGGGTGAATTGTTATGATTTCGGACGAGACACTAGAGAGCATGGTTAGAATGCATATCCTGGAAGGTAGCTAACTACACGTCTTCCAAATTAGTCTAGATTTCCCCACGAAGTAATGAAGTTTTTTCTCGATCTACCTCCTTTCGGTTCTTCCTTATGATATTAAATGGGCTTACCCCTTTGTTCATCTCCTCGCTGTACGGATTACGTCTCACCCTCTTTTGGAGATATCGGAAACAAAATTATAGCATTACCACATCATGTATTTTCAAGGTCTCATAATAAAATCCCTAGTTATATGAAGTAACGGGTCTAAACTGACGAGCGTTATATTTACCCTATGCCTGTGATACTACTTACCATATTTTGACTGGACGTTGATTTAGTGTTCTCGAAGAGACGGGACACTACAAACAGGTACGTAGCTGTGATAAAAGACCTACTAAGTACTTCGTACATGTATGATGTATTTGAGTTCATCGTGACCAGAAAGTTGAAATAAGCCTTGTGGGCGTCGGGGCAAGATTGCGTACCTAGGATTTGCAGCTAATGAGCCTAGTCACCTAGTGGTCAAGGGGATTATCCTGTCTTCGTCGGGGTTTGCGGAGCGGCTACTACGTCATTGATGCCGCCCGTACGGGAGATAGATGCCGAGTCTACCTAAACCAGTTGAGTCTCACGGAAAACGGCAAACATGTTTGAACTTGAATGGCTATTGACTGTGCCGTTATGGATTACCGTCCGTGTTATCCATCGACAAGTTATAGCGAGAATGATCCACACGTGGACTGTTGTTTGTCGCGCATCGCTGTGCGAGTGCATATGGTATAATCGATAAGGACTTTATAAATTACTGTGACTAGAAAACAAGGTCATATTTTTTTATTCCGCGTGACAAGCCCAAAGTCTAACAATATTACTATGTAAAGCATTTGGTTTATGTGGAAAAGTTGGAGTCTTGACGAATTATTTGACACATGTGGGTTTCTTATTGGACTTGGTGGCGTAATGTGGCTATCATCAGTGGCTATCCCTGCCTTCTTTATGGTACACATTCGGACTGCGCTTTTCTGTTAGGCCATGGCTAGAACACTTAGTCAGTAATGCAGTTCCAAGGTACAATACGAAACCATGCTCCTTGTATGCAGGGGCTCAGGAGGGGCTAAATATAGAGGGGAGAGGGGGTCGTCGATCAATTATACATCTGTGTATCATACAATTTCTATGCCTATCATAAGTACCGACCTAACAGATATACTTCACACTGCCTCACAGTCCTCAACGGTTTAGGAAATGGTTGTTCGATGCCAAGGCCCGAACATCTGGAATTCCCGACTTTCGAACTCCACCCCCATTCCCCCCCCCCGCTGACTTTGTCGCAGCACCTCGCAGCACTTGCATCTAAATCGTCTAATGGGACTCCTTCTTTTGGCTTTCCATACAAAATCAATCCCCATCTCCATCCCCAAAAAAACTAGCCGTAGTAGCTGGGCTATGTATTAGTTTCTGTTCCTTCTGAATAGTTTCTCTCATGATATGGGGGGATAATTGATGGTGTTTTCCTTTTTTACTTATTCCTCATACTTCCGCCTCTCTTTTTTTTCTCTCTCATTTCATTTCTTCTCTTCTAACGAGCCGACCTTCATTCGGATTACTGTCGTTTTCTCGTCGTCAAAGAAGTGCGCGCGCTCGCTATTATATTATCATCTTCGGTATCCTTGGCCATACCGCTTTTCTTTCATTTCCAACCTACTTTTAACTGTTGACCGTTGACCGCCTCGTTTTCTGCCGACGTGCTATGCGCATCGGCAACGCCTTCTCTTCTCGATGTACCACCTCCAACGTATAACCATCGTCGCGCTAGTGCTTGCCATCGTTATCGTGCTTGTCACCAGACTACCTCGATTCCTCGATCCCGTTCCGCCCAACAAGGAAAAGCAAGAAGCTGACCGGCAGTGGATCAACACATCTCCGTACTGGCTCGATCGTCAAGCTTGCCGCTGGTTTAGTCTTTGTGGTCTGCTGCACCTCAGGAACGATCCCCCAGCGAAACCGAAGCACAAAGACGATGGACACGGACATGAACTGAGGCACCTTCTTAGAGAAGAAGAGGTTTCCATTTCGAAAGAGGAGGGTAGCAGGAAAAAAGGACAGCTAAAAGGGATACCGGACTACGTGCTGAACTACGCACCGCTGGTTCACCTGTATTCGGAGGAATTCTTTTGGCCTTCGGATATCGCCGATCATATCCAACATATGGTGCCCGACCTTGAAGAAGACAAATGGACGTTCAACGAGTCGCAGCCTCTCACTTTAGCGAATTTAAACGAGCTGAGCTCCGAGCTGGGATTTCAACATCTTAACAGCAAAGATGACGTAGAGTCGCGTCCGCGCTGGCTTCATAGCAAGATGAACCGACCGATCGCTTTTAGCGACGAGGATAGCGACAAAGAGCACGACGACGATTCGGAGCCTGGTAGTTTGTTTAGTGACGATACGACATGGTTCGATGTTGACCGGGATCACCCTCTACACCGAATCTCGGACCCACGAAAACTTCCCGCCGGCAGACCCCGGTCGCGACGGCTGGCAAGACGTTCCCTTGGTTATCCCCAACAACAGCCACTCGTGTCCCCAGAAGAAGCAGCACGGAACGCGCAAAATAAGCCCAACGAGTCGGGGTACTCTCGCGCGCCAGCTACTCTCGTTTTAGTAGACAAAGGATCCGGCATCGTGGATGCCTTCTGGTTTTTCTTTTACGCCTACAATCTCGGCCAGACGGTCTTGGGTACTCGATACGGGAACCATGTCGGCGATTGGGAGCATTGCATGATCCGCTTCGAGTCCGGCGTTCCTCGCGCCGTCTTTTTTAGCGAGCACGAAGGCGGCCAAGCGTACGCCTGGCACGCCGTCGAGAAGCGAGGAAACGAGAGCGAAATCCAACGACCAGTCATATATAGCGCCGTCGGGTCGCACGCTATGTATGCGACGCCTGGAAACCACCCATACGTCTTACCCTTCGGGATGCTCAAAGACATCACGGATAAAGGACCTCTATGGGACCCGGCTAAGAACCTGAGGGGCTATTGGTACGATTATACTGCTACTAAGGACAACGAAGGACTGGAGCCTGTGAGGGAAAACGCCGACGAGCCGACGAGCTGGTTCCATTACAAAGGGACTTGGGGCGATAAGTTGTATGGTCTCAACGATAGGCGGCAGTGGCGACTGTTCGGCCAGTACCACTACGTGACGGGCCCCCAAGGACCGAAATTCAAGAATCTCGGCAGGGAAAAGGTATGCCAGACGTGGAGGTGTCGGATTATACATAGCATTGCGGAGGGAAAGAAGGGAAGTTGGCATTCGTGAAAAGGGTATTATACCATAGAGGGTGGGGGGAAACAAGGTATATATTATCAGGCGTTTTACCGGCTTTAGATACCCCAGCGGTAGTTGGGCATTCATTTTTTTATGCTTGCTTTTACAATATAACGAATTACTTAGATACCAGGTACCTAACCTAACGTAACCGAAGTTTCATATGCAAACGAGATCCCGATTACCTGGTGTGTGGAAACGAGACTTGGCTTCCGGATTGTAGTGCTAGGTACCTACCTTGTATGTAGGATGGTTGCATAGGCACGATAGGTATTGGACTAATATTCTTTTCAGCTCTACATCGTGTAGATCCCCCCGTTCAGCTCAAATTGGGCCATGTGTAATCGTGCGATTGCCGATCGGATTGTGTTGCATCTTGTAGCCGTGTAGCATGGCATAGGATAACATGGCAGGGTAGGACAGGGCAAGGCATGGCATGGCAAAGCCATGGATTTCCTATATCTTATATCCGTTTAGAGGTACCTAAGTGATCCACTCACTTACTCACTTACCATCGTTCTAGTTAGACACGAACGAGAAAAGCCTCGGCGTGTAAACATACACGGGCGTCCCGCACGCACAGGGGAAGGGAAAGAGGGAAAAAAAAAAAAAAAAAAAAAACCACCTATTTCTTAGGTACTCTGGGGAATTCACCCCCCATCATCTCCGCATCGCACCCCCAGGAAAATCCGGGGTGTGTCTGTGTGAGGGGGGCTTCCTGGCTCGGCGCCGATCCCTGATTGGCGCGCGTAAAGGAACGGACCACGAAGTTCGTTCGGGGTACCTATGCTGCTCGACGCGGAGAATTCCCTCCAGTGAAAAAGATACTCCCGGAACCGTTGTCTACCTGCTTTGAGTATATACCTCCGGCGGTCGAGGGTTTCTCCGACATAATAAACACGATGTGTGCGTATGTGAGGTGGGCCAATTCCCCCATGGGGTATGGAGATGAGATGGGGTTGGTTACGTGGGTATAAGGTAGCTAGCTTGGTATAGGTATAGGTAGGATGTATATAAGGTAAATACGTCGGCGGTTGCGAGACCAAGATTAATCGTGTCGGGTACTTTTCTGCTCTGCTCGCCGGGTCTTTCTGTTCGTCGTCGAGACCTATCTTAATTTTTTGCGTGAGTGAAGGAACGGGATACAGCAGATAGATACCTGATACAGACGAGAATATCCAAGATGAAGCCTCATACTTACCAGGTACGTATATTATGACATCCAATTGACGCGATACTACGAACTTTCCAGTGTAGCTGACATCTATGTATTGTAGTTCCTCGTCGGCGTCTTCGCCTCGATGGGCTCGGTGCTCTTCGGCTACGATCTGGGTGTCATCGCCGGCGTCGTGGGAAGTACTTCGTACGCGGAACTATTCCAATCGAACGCGGCTCAGGAGTGAGCCTCTCTTTTCTCACCACCATCTCCTCCCTCTCCCCTCCCTTTAGAACTCCCCTTCGTCCAATTCTTAATGCTAATTACCTATTCATCTAACTACAGCGGAGCCGTCGTCTCCCTATTCACGGGCGGCGCTTTCTTCGGCGCCATGTTCGCGGGCCCGGCGGGCGATATGCTCGGCCGGAGACTCACGATCATGCTGGGCGCCGTGATCTTCCTTCTCGGCGGAGCGATCCAGACGGCCGCGCAGACGATAGATTACTTATACGGCGGACGGGCGATTGCTGGTTTGGGCGTTGGGTTCTTGACTATGATTATTCGGTAAGCTCTCTTATTTTGATTGGGACTCAGAGCACACTAATGTTCTAACAACGATTTGATATAGTGAGTCCCCGTTACATTATAGAAAGAATCCTTCTGTTCCATGACAAAAGGAAGATATGTGAAGATCGCTTCGGCTACTAACTTCGCCCCAACAGCCGTCTACCAAAGCGAAATCGCACACCCCTCCATCCGCGGGCGCGTCACGGGCCTGCAGCAATTCATGCTGGGCATCGGGGCCTTCCTGGCCGGGTGGATCTCGTGGGGGTGCTTCATCAACCTGAGCAGCTCGGCGCAGTGGCGGATCCCGCTGGGGATCCAGAACCTGCCGGCCCTGGTCCTCGCCGCCCTGATCCTGCTGTTCCCGGAGAGCCCGCGCTGGCTCGTCGACCACCGCCGCGCCGACGACGGCCTGCGCACCCTCGCGAGGCTCCACGCCAACGGCGACGTGCACGACCCCTGGGTCCAGGCCGAGTTCGCGCAGATCAAGGACACGATTCGCTTCGAGCGCGAGCATGAGGCCAAGAGCTACTCGGAGCTTTTCACGAACCCGTACGTACCTAACCTAACCTAACCTAACCTATACCTACATCTACCTTCTACATATCACTTCCATGCCACGGATAATAAGCTCCTCGGGACCTAAAAATGTTGCGGTTGGCTAAACATACATGCCTTCCCCCCTTCTTAGCTCCGCCTTCCGCCGGCTGTTCCTGGCGTGCGCGATCCAAGCGGCGACGCAGATGACGGGGGTGTCGGCGATCCAGTACTTCTCGGTGAGCATCTTCGCGCAGATCGGCATCTCGGCCGACGACGCGCTCAAGTACCAGGCCATCAACAGCATCCTGGCGCTGGTCGCGCAGGCCTCCTGCATGGCGCTCATCGACCGCTTCGGGCGGCGGCCGACCATCGTCGCCGGCAACCTCGTCAACTGCGCCATGTTCGTCGTCGTCACCGTTCTGCTCGCCCGGTTCCCGCCCGACACGGATTCCGGCAGCACGGCTGGGTGGGGGTTCATTATTGTGTAAGTCCAACTTCACGTACCATCTGACTATCCCAGAACTTGCTAGTATTGGGTTAGGTAGGAATTCGAGCTAACCATGCTGCTCTTCAGGACCTGGCTCTTCAACATTTCATTCTCCTTCGCCTGTGGCCCACTCTCCTGGTAAGCCCCTTTCCTTCCCCCGTCCCCTTTTCCCGTCCCCTTTCCTCCAAACCCCGTTCTAACCCTCCCCCCTCTTCCCCCTTCCCTAGGATAATCCCCGCCGAGATCTTCGACACGCACACGCGCGCGAAAGGCGTATCGCTCGCGACCATGGTCAGCTTCGCCTTCAACACGCTCGTCGGGCAGATCACCAGCGTCGCCGTCGACGCCGCCGGCTGGCGGTACTTCGTCCTGTTCGCCGCCTGCAACGCCGCCAACGCCCTCTTCTTCTGGCTCCTCCTCCCCGAGACCAAGCAGGTGCCCCTCGAGCACATGGGCGCCCTCGTCTTCGCCCCCGACGCCCCCTGGATCGTCCCCGGCGAAAAATCCCGCGCCTTCCGCGCCGCCGCCGAGGCCGAGGTCGCTGCGGCGGCGGCGGCTACGCTCGATATTAAGGAGGTCGAGGTGAAGAAGAGCGAGCATGATGAGGTATGAAATACAACATTGGTAATAAGGTGGCGGGTGATTTTTGAATATTTACAGTTCTAGTTCGCAGTGCAAGAAACGACCTAGTAGTTAGGTCGATAGACGCGTTAATCTGAATAAGATCTCGTGGATGACGCGAGGCTTTGTAAAATTTGTCAGTACGACTAGAATCCGTATATTGTTGCGCTGCTCCCAGAATTCAGACGTGCGTGTAAACACGTGACAAGTACCAATGTCTCGAATTAAGCAATCGTACCTAAGGTATCGCGACAGCAAGTCAAAAAAAAAATAGCTTCAAAGTAATTGAAGCTGAGACTTGTAGAGGAAGCATACATAATGGTTGGTCTATTCAGGTATAATAAGTACATCAAGAAGTAACCGTTCATCGTTACTATTTATCTCCAAAACTGGAAATTATCGTATAAATCAGGTACCATCAGAGCTCTCTCCCACCACTCAACCCTCCATACCACCCAAAAAAAAAAACACCATTTAGGTGAACGGTAACAGAGATAAGCTCTGTAAGGGGTATATATAGGTTCATATCTTATACAACACATTATCTTCTTACACCGGGCGCTGAGGCCTTAAAAACCAGGGGGTCGGTATTCGATATTCTCCAATACCGCATCAAGAGCTTCTTGCACATCTGCGTGGAAGAATGGCCGGTTAAGACCATATACCGGTACTTGGCGTGTAGCACTCTCGTCTTCGTTGATGGAAGATGGTTGCGCGCCGATTTCTTCATCGCCGTGGCTCGTGCGCTTCTCGATCGCCCCCTTTTCGCCCGAGTGACTTGAGCCAGAAAGAGGCGATGCAGCATCCGCTAGATCGGCGACGCTGAAGATGGATTTCCAACGACGACCAGCCTCGGCGTCTCCCTTGGGCTGTAAAAATCCGAAACCGGCGGCGACGAGCGCGCGGCGAGTCCAAGCATTTCTAACATTCGCGAAATGCCATTCGACCGTGTCCGGTGTTGTATACCTGTCTAATTGGTTTCGCACGTCTATTAAAGCTTGCACAGAGGTCACATCCACATTATTAATCGCAGAGCAATCTAAGATGATCGCCCTTAGAGTAGGTCGCCCTGAAGTATCGTCCAGAACGACTTTGCCCTTACGTGGGCCGGGGTTGTTCCAGGGGCGGTCCTAGAGCAAAATTAGCAAAAGGAAATAAAAGATTGAGAATACCAAACTTACACCTAATTTTCCAAGAGAATCCGGATCGGTTCTTCGCGTGGCTTTGAAAATTCCTTCTGTAAGCCCGTCTAAGAAGCGGGTTGCGTTTGGATAATTAAATAGCTCTGAGAATTGATAGATGAATACGCCAGGGTAAGGGTGAGAAACGGGTATGCGAGGATTTGAGTTGTCTTCGTGGTCGATCGGGATAAATAGGTTGCGCTCGCTCGAAATGCGGCCTTGCCTCAAGGTTAGGGGAGTCTTCTGATCCTGGGACAGGGACTGGCTTTCGCTACCGTGCCTGCTAGGTCTCAAGTCTCCAATGGTTCGGACTGTAGCGACACCGAGGAATCGACCCTTCGCTTGGAACAGGCGGAAAATGAAGACGGCAAAGGACACACAAACTGTGGTGTAAATGCCATCCTCAATACCGTCAAAGATGGTCACCAAAACTCCAGCAAAGAAGATGATGACCTCCAGGGGCGAGATTCTCCAAAATTGGTATACGATGTCTGGCGGGGACACAACGTCCAATACCGCGTGGATAATAACGGCGGCAAGAGATGCCTGAGGGATATACCAAAAGACAGCTGTCAATGCGTAAAGAGCAAGAAGCACGACAATCGCAGTAATGACACCAGCAAATGGTGTACGGACGCCTGATTTCGCCTTGATGGCAGTACGAGAGAAGGATCCAGTAGCCGGGTACGCGCCAAGGAAAGGACCCAGAAGATTACTGACTCCAATAGCAACTAGTTCTTGTGAAGGGTCGATGACATAGTTATTAACGCGACCAAATGATTTCGAGATGGAGATATGCTCGATCAGTACAACAATGACGGCAGCGGGAAGCTCGGAGGTAAAAAAGGAGAGAATCTTGGGGTCAAGGTCAGGCACTGCCGCATGTTGAAATCCTACGTTCGTTAGTCACATGTCAAATAATAGGCATCACATAGGAGGGGGGTAGTTATTATATACCTCGAGGAACTTCGCCAAGGACGCTGAAAAGGGGATTCTCACGACGGTGAAGATTGACACCGGCGCTAATTGCCGTATATAAAAGAATAACAAACGCAGTCCGGAGGGTGGATACGAAGAAAAGCGTCTTCTCTCGCTGAGGATACTTCTTGGCCAGATACGTGCAAGTGCTCCTAATAATATAGAGCATGAGTAAGGCCGTTAGTCCCATGGCAGCATCGATCGTAGTGTACTTGAGATTCTTCAAGGTGTTGATGATAACCAGATAAGTGGCATCTCGCGTCGAGAAATGCTTCTTTTTGCTGTTTATGCCCAGCATCGTGGGTACTTGCCCAACTGCGATGCTAACTCCAGATCCAGTCATGAAAGCGGCAATGGAGGGCAGAGGGATGAAATCAACAATCCAACCAAGTCGTGCTAAGCCTAGGAAGCATACAATACCGCCGACAATGACGGCGAGAGCAGATGCCACAACGTGACCTGGAACATCTGGGATAGACTGCTCCGCTCTATTAACGATGCCACCGGTAACAGTCGACATAACCGCGACAGGCTTTGAAAGCAGTTAGTAAAATGCATGCCTTTTTTTAGATTGAATGACGTGGGAATAGAATAGATAAAATTAAATGACATACCCCGATGGTGATATCCTTAGAAGTCGCAAAGAACCAATAGATAAGGACACCCATGAAGGATGAGTAGAGGCCATATTGGGGCTCAAGCTCGGCAAGCAATGCGTAAGCCATGCCCTGAGGCACAACTACAGCACCGACGGTGATACCTGAAGCAAGCAAGATTATGTCAGTGTATTGCCCGTGCGGTGGGAGGGGTAGATTCTAAGCTTTAAGCTTACCAGCAATGAGATCACCGATGAACCATGTCATATTATATCTGGTAATCCAGTGGAGGAACGGGAATAGGCGGTAGAAATATTGGAAGATACCACGAGGCGTCGGCGTAATACTTCGGATCCAGTCGACCGCGGTTGGGTCCCTTTCATCGTAGGGTTCGACATCAGGATAAGACTGAGACGCGTCTCTCGAATCGGTTTGCTCTGCTTCGCGTTGGCCGTAAGGGTCGAGGTTCATATTGAAGAACCAGGCGAAGCCATGACCTACTTTAGTCAAAGTAGAAGAAGACATACTTCAGTCTGTCTTTAGTACTGCCAATACCAATGTCAATGCCGATTTATGTGAACCCGAAGGGTTTTTGAATCGGGGCGCGCCCCTTGGGAGAATGAATGTTCAGCGTATAAGTGCGCTATAATTCGGGGAGGGTATGTAGGACAAGTTATTGTTCAACACTAACACAAGAAACTCAATTCTTGCTGATGAAAATAAGATGAGCTTCATCCGTCAACGTGCTCTCCAGGGAGTTAAAAGCGACTGCATGATGCGGTCGTATTTAATATAAGGGTATGAGGGTTGAAGAAGACGGAAAGACCCGAAAGACGCAAAGACACTCCCCCCTCCTTCCGCGGAGGAAGATTTACGATTCTGGATCGCGTACCGAAGCAAGAGCATTGTGCAATTAGTTTTTTTTGGGCAAGTGGCAGCAGCCATCAGTAGCACCCAAGTTGTAACTTTCCATCTTATATTCGGACGAACGAGAGCTCTTGTAGATGGCGAGATGTGGGTCTCCGATGATGTGCGCGCCCTTGTAACAGGGGTATTGTGGGTTTGTCCTACCAAGTCTCTACCAAGTCTCTATCAAATCTCTACCAAACTTATACCAAGCTTATACCAAGCCTTTACTAAACCTCGACTTAAACTTTTATTAAATCTTATCACTTATACTAAAAACCTGGTTTCTTATTGCGCCATGAGCCATGCCATCCATGAAAGGTTTAGGGGCAAGGGTCAGCTACGAACCCAGCTCTCAGCCTCGATCCAATCTCGGACCAATAGATATCATATCCATCATGTAAGAGGACCTGGTTGAGGTGAATACAATGGGAATGTGTGCTCTGCAGCCAATATCGTCACTTTGATTAAGCCACATGATTCCAACTTTTCCAACAGTCTGGATCCAGATCTTAGTCTCCCATCGATATATGTGTCCGAAGCATGTGTATATCCTTGATCTAAACACACACGCATGGCTTGTTACTTGTTAGCCTGGTCTGATAACCATGAGGTAAAAGCATCGTTTCCATCCTTCATCTATACGTGGGGGAACTCGTTCCAGACCATGTCCTTGGCAAGGGTCTCTCCAAGACAATAGCACACGACATCACTCCATCAAAGAAATACCTCAGTTTGGTTACCTAATAATATCTCTCGGTAACAGAGGAAAGTAAGGATATTATTAGGTAAGTGTACCTGCGTCTGCTAAGCTACACTCCCATAATCCATACTTGGATCTCATCTTACCTAGGTTAGGTACCATTCGCACTGCCCGTCCCACGGAGATACCAACCTCCTATTGATAGCCTTCCGAGAGATCAACCGGCGGACCACGCCCAACAAAGCCTAGGCCCAGAAGTGCCACGGCAGCCTAGCGGGCTGACATTCGTAATCAGGAGTTTTAGCTACTATGTAGGTAGGTAGCTATCTCGCCTAGTCGCTGATTATAAACTTGACTTGGCTACGAGGCACCAACAGTCTCATGTGGATCTTGTTAAATATACGTACACACACATCTATCATTATGATCAGCGCGTTATCATTTCAAGAGATGGAGTTATTGCGGTGTTATTAAGCTTTTTGCAAGAAACCATCTGTCCGCAAAATCCATGAGGTCCATTTCAACTCATACGCCAAGCTATAATTTTGTCTCTTGCAAAGCATGGTCTTTTAATCAGTCTGGCTAAACGCTCGCCTGCTTAGCAAACATTTCCTGAAATAAGCTATTGAAGCGTGTAAGTGGATACACATCCCCCTTTTATTATTTCTCTTGCCGACAACACTATTACGGAACTACTTACAAAGAGGCACAGCAGAAGAAAAACCAGATATGATCTTCAAATTTATCTATCAGTTCTACGGTGATCCACGAAGTGCTATTCATAGGTATACAAGAGCTTCAATGGCAATATTAAAAGGTTAAGCCCAGCATGTTACACTTCGAATTGAGCCTCTCCAATGGGACGCTAGGTATGTATTAGCGATCACGTCATGAAAAGGGCGGTCCAAACAGAGCGAGCCAACATTATGTTGTAATTCACTACCTGTTGAAAATGCACACCACTCTATTATAAGAAGACACTTGGCGTAAGAGGCTCATATGGTCTGCGTAAAACCAGGTAGGTTGGCATGAGTTGCGACTTATTTGGTATCGCCACTGTATATAAAGCCTGTTCCCATGAACTGATCCTAACCAAGCGTAAGACAGGTATACTAGCGTTTGCCATGGGGATCTACCTACCCAAGTACCGGCATGATAATTCCAACTTATTATCTGCTGAAAACTTCCTAGCTGCTCATTTGCCTTTACCCAAGAGAGCGGGTAGAAATCGGCTATAATTCCACTGTCCATAAAAAATATTGTATGGAAAACGAGGAGAGATAATTACCAGTAGACGGATCGTATACCTATATCTCCATTCATCTTCGAGAATGATAAACAGACCCAGAATAATGCCCCTTACTTTAATCTAGCGAAGTGCTCCGTTGTTAACCCGCCATAGAGACATATCGACATACTTGAGATCTAGGCATCGCCTATTCTTCGCTCAATAAGGAGGTAACTACCTGAACCTAGCCTAACTAAGCTACGTGAACTAATGAAGTCACCTCTTGAACTGTATCTGAGCGATAGGTACCTAAGATTTTGTAGCTACAGTCTCCCATATTCAAACAGAAATACAAGACGCTCAAATCCTAGGTAAAGGAAACCTTTTCAAGATGATGATGATGATGATGACAAAGAACGGGGAAATAAGTACGTACCCCGCCTCATAAACCCCTTTACGTACCAGTCTCGAGCTTTACCATAGGTAGTTGTCACGGTACGGTCCTATAACATAGACCCTGGTGGGTCACCATCGTGTATAGAAGGTAGCTAGATGAGGGACTACCTACTGGTTCCCTTTTCCCTTTGTGCAACAACAATTATCTCTACCAGAACCTTGACAGTAATGGATGGCTAGGTCCAAGTGCTATGCTTGAGGACTCACCTGTTTGACTCTATAAATGGCGAAGAGCCAGCTCCTTAGGAAGCCGAGACTTAGGCCGATCCGACCCAAAATTGCGAGTAGGTATAAGGTGTTTAAAGAATGCGAGATCAATCTTTGAACCAAAAAAAATGGCAATCCATTTGTAGGGTCTTGCACACAGGGTCCAGGAAGTCGGGGCAAGCTGTTCAAGTATATTGTCCAAGTTAGCTAGCTACCTGTTTCAATGCTCCTTTGAGCGCTTTCTAGCAGTTGGCCTTGATGATACATGCTGCTAGGGCTGTGGTAGCCACGACGATGCGGACAGCGCGCTGCATCACGTTTGCCGTGCCAGGATCTGTCTGGTATTGCTCCGAGAGACATTAGGACGAAGAACAAACACGCGCTGAAGAATATGTGCGAGAGATGGCAATTAGCGATGAAAATATAGGTAGGCGAGGGAAATGAAGCGGATGAAATCTGGCGAAACTATCATCTTCTTACGCGTGTAGGTCTTGACATGGGAATAGGGGTGGCATTTTACCCCTTTTCTATTCTCTTCTATTCTACTCTATTCAATTCCGTCACCCGGCCTTCCTTATGGGGCCGACCCGAGACCAGGAAACAAAAGTGCAGCTGCTTACTCTTGGAATTGTTATTTCCATAGGTAAGGTACGCTTGCATTCGTCTAAGCGTATTGAGCTTATTTGCCAATGTTCTTATTAGTCCTATTAAGCCACTTCAATAGGCCGCTGTTGTAGAAGTGTTTATTTAGAGTAATATGCCACGTATTTTCTCCCCGTGTCCGCCGATAGGTTCTAATAATGACTTCTACTGCGAGAATCATATGGTAAATACGTCAAATCTGCGGGAATGTAAGCGGAGACCTACCATAGGGGGAGCGCGGCGCCCTTGGGATACATCCGTTATTAAATGACAGAAGAATTACATGATCAACATACTGCCGAAGAGGCCTCTCGCACTTACGGAGCGATAGCTAATATTGCTAATTGATCAATCCTCTGTAGTCGACCGGCAATTTCACACACGAGACGGTTATCTTTTCGGGGAATAAGGACCAATATGCCAATATTACTGGGCCGAGCTACTAGACTAGAAGGTTTAAGTTGCTTCCAGATAAAACAAATACCATAGGCGAACGAAGAAGTTGTCTCCAAGAAGCAACGTTCTGATTCTGCCCAGTCTCTCTACTGCTGGCTGTGGTGAGTAGCACATTTGATCACGTTCACTCGTAAGATATATCTACAACGAATGACGAAGTGGCCGTGTAAACAAATCAATGCAGAATCTGAGAGTGCGTTGAACCGCAAGCAGCCGTCGTGCGTGTGGTTGGTTCTTCAGAAGCGCTGTTTGCGCTTCAAATAAGCTATTATTTTATAATATATTCATGCAGCACGATAAGCATGCAGTTAGCATTGGAATAAAAATAAACAAAAAAAGAAAAACTGGAAATATTAGATAACATACCATATTATAGTGGCATCTCGCGGAGTCGGTCACACTCACATATAAAACTGCCAGCATAACAGCTGAAAGCAAGCCAACCACATCATAGGAAAAGTAGTACGAGGGATGGTACCGTATTACATAAGATTATGAATTTAGGGGTGCGAGATTTCAAGTTCGGGATTGGATTTCTCCTTGAACCCTGATGTCACCCCAGCGTCAGCCTGAAACTGGGGATATTTCTCTAGTTTTCGGCTGATAATAACTGCAGGAGGTACTTAATGAATCGGGCTAAGCAAATAAGTTTCGACGATGTATCCCGAACCGATGGAAAGCCTTGTAAGGAAAGAGGATGAGGCACTCATGGACTAGGTAGGTAAGTCAAATAGTGTAACTTCCCGATTCGGGTCAGATGACCCGTGGAGCGTGAGCCGGGAGCCAGATGGAAGCAATATCGAATTATCAAATCCAATGTTCCGTATCGCAACTAGTAAACGGAATTTAAAGTAGGCCGGTCTCAATTCGTTTCCTGACGCCTGATAGACTCTATCAAGAGATCATCGTAGTGAAATGCGCATACCTTGCTTATTGATGCCCTTATTGGCTTTTGTCAAGGAACGAGGAAAAAACGCCACAAAGATGAAAATAACCCCTGGTAGGGCACCTAATACTTAAGCATACGCATGCTCGGGCGTGAATGCGTGACAAAGTTTCGTAAGAATAGGTACCTGAGGTAAGAGTTCGGTATCGGCAGGGGGGGCGTACTGCAACGTGATCCAGATACAGTACTGACCGCAAAGGAAAATTAAGCAATGAGAGCCAATCCCAAGGTGTAAGTTGTGGATATTCCATGTCCTATACCATGGGCAGATGAGCGATGCTTATTCGTCATCGCCAAAAAATGGGGCGTGTAAGTGAGGCGAACCTGCATCCCTTTGTGTATGTATGCACCTACCGGACCACAGTCGCACTCGAGACGAAGGTATGGCAAGTCGGGCAACATAAATACACAGCTATTGAAGCCTCTATCCCGCGTTGAGGGCGGTGTGAGGATAAAATATACTAGACATTCGATAGTGTTGCGCTGCTGCTTAACGGTCTGCGCTAAGCTCGTGAGGCGCAACTGTTGTTAGGACTCTCCCATAAATAGCCCCGTTGACCAACTTCGTGCCAAGCTCCAACGCTTTCTTAAGACATTTCGTCTTTCATCAGCATACGGCATACGCTCGAAAGATGGCATCGTCTCCCATGAATAAATATTGGATTCCGCATCTAGACATTCACAAGAAGGTCATCACCCAGGAGCTCCAATACTATCTAGGGCCGGATGCGACTGTCAGACCGTACACTCGAGAGGTAGGACGATCACAATAACGGCGCTGCGCATAGTGCACTGACTCGTGCTTCTAGGGAGCCGAAGGTTACTTGATCCAAACACCCGGGCCATGCTTAACAGACGTAGGGAATTCCGCTCGCCGCGAATGTTGTCATCGATATTAACCTGCGTGTAGGAACAAATAGACGATATCTGCTTAAAATCGAAAGAGATGTGGGAAAAGGAGGCGGCAGCGCGCTCACAATCGAATCCCGAGAAACCGCTCAAGCGCCCATTGCATCAGCCAATCTTGATATCCAGGGGATCTGCAGAGGGACCGAAGCGCCGCGGAAAAGATCGAAGGATTCATAATTCTCGCCGACCATACGATGACAAGAAAGGTGGTGAAATGTCCCGGAAATGAGGTTTAGCAGACTTGCGAACTGTCTGGGGATGCAGCAGATCGCCGATGTAACGCAAATACGTCGTGGGACGGGCGGGAAAGCCTAGGTTAGGTACGCAAAAGACTCGAGGGCAATGCGTCCCACCACCGGGCAGGATTTGGGCGGCTCCAAGTTGGTTGAGAATGGGTTGTTCCGAGATTGAAAGCTGCAGAAAGAAGTAGTCCGCCAGCGAGGGTTTGCCATCTGGCAGTGCTGAAGCCTCTGTGGATCTTGGAGATTGAAAGGCGATAGTTCAATGGTTGTCTGCATACATAAGGCGTCCAGTCTACCGCAACAAGCCAAAGAAGCTAAAGCCGTTTTTGGCGAAACATTGCCCCCCAATTGGCTTACACCGAGCATCTTACACCAAGCATCTTACTCCTTGTGTTTTGTGCATGTCATGCAGAAGTCGTGCAGGTAAGCGGACCATACCTTGTAGAGTCGAGGTGCTGAGGTTAGGTAGATATGTAGATATAATGCTCGATATAGCAGCCCCTTTTTTTTGTTTACTCGGCCTAGCTACCAATCAAAGGGGTTTACCGCAGAACCTGCAACATTCAGGCGGTCGGAAGGTCGCGACCAGCCAAGAGCGGAGCTTTTGTGAAGCAAGGTAGTACCGGAGATCGATCGGAGCCTATCTCTCTTAAAGAACAGCTGCGTTTCAATTGTATTAGTTTTGCTGAGTTGGCATACATGCCAGGGTTGGCTGCGGTGGCTCTTGGCATAGTCTTCGAGCGCTTGCGAAAGCCCATCAAGAACTTCACCAGCTCATCACCTATATATGAATCTGCAATGAGCAAACTTCTCGCTAGAGTGCAGTCCGTAACAAGCGACATTTAAGCAACGCAACGATACCAATTGACACGAAGATGAAATTACCCACTTATCATCTCGAGCAATCGATTCGTGATTATGTTTATGCCAAAGCAAAGAGGGAGAAGCAACTCCGAATGCACGCAGATCCTAAATCATTTAGTGATTGCTGCTGTCCAGGTCCTAGAGCCTTGTAAGCACACCGACAGTTCTGCGAGTGGTATGCATCACTTCGTATGCCGCGCTGCTATGCATGTCCGAAGATGCTGGATGATTTGTCTGGTTGGGCCTTCTTGTGTGGTCACTCGGTTTCGGAAATGAACGAGCTCTCGTATGATGAGATGTCTAAGTCACGGGCAATCCAAAGAACCAGGACCTGAACACCGATGTTTTCTGTATTAGATCCCACCGTGGTTTTAACAAGCGTCTTGTCGATGGATGTGATGTATCCTATGATATGAACCCATTGACCAATATCCGTTTGTTCGGAATTGAGGTTCTCAAGAAGAAGTGTAACATCGGCACTGACTCTGGCCTTGGTGCCCTTTGGATATTCGTGCTGAAGACTCAATGTGGCTGAACGGGTTGAGTATCCAGTCACGCTAATAATGTTGTATTAGTGCACACGCTTGTATGAGGAAGACTAGAAGGTTAAGGGGTCTGTTCGTTCTCCTCTAAGATTCAAGAACTAGGTATTGTCATAAATTTTACAAAATCTTAAATGGCTGCCAGAGATTGCGGAGGTGTTGCAAGGCCGTTCGCAAATAAGATGAGGAGAAAAGGAAAAAGAAAAGCAAAGAGTCTTACCACCCAAGAAACCTGACCTTGTCCCCCACGTGTTTCGTGGAAAGGTGCGAAAGGAGGCAGCGTACCGATGGAAGAGGACCATTAGACATTGGTTAAGAAAAATATAGAGAATTGACGGTGGTGAAGTTGGAGAGGTTAAAAGAAGAAACCAATTGATAGGTCTAGGTAGATTCATCTATTACGAAGAGGGGATTTTCTTAGGAGACAATGCAATGCATAAGGAATAAATGCTTCATTAACTGCCCATGTGTACATAATACCGGACTCAAATAGCACAAGATATTACACTTCGGCCATCTATTGGATAAAACTCGCCCTATTGTCTTTATTCATTGGTTGCTTAGGATAATTTACATACTGACTAATCCGGATAAACACCGGGGTCTGTGGGGACTTGCCGTTGCCCCCTGTCGCCCTTGTGCCCTTGTCGGCTGCGGCGTCATCCAATCCGTTCTACGTACTCATTACCTGGTCTGCTGCTAACCTAATACTAGACTGATGGACCCGAAAGGAAACGACTTGCTTGCATCATATCCATCCATCCTATCCTATCTGCCTAGACCTTCAAAACAATCTCGTGACAGCTAACAACTCCCTTTCGCCATTTCGAATACCGCCTAAATCCCCTCTCTGTCTCTCTCTCGCTCGACAACCATACACACTTGACGAAGACATAATAAGAAAGGCGACGTCATCATCTCCCTTTTAGCTACGAGGCTATATATCGTTAATTCTACCCCGCGATCGATAGCCTCACCGGCGTATCACATTCGAAGACCTTACCTATCCGAATCGTATATCCCAGCACCCTCGATCGACGTCGGCTCCGATAGATACAGCGTTCTCTCCCTCTCTCTCCCCCTCTCAAAACCATGTCTGGCGTCTGGGCCTGGTTCGGCGGAAGCGCCGCTCAGAAGAAGAAGGACAGTCCGAAAAATGCGATCCTCGGCCTACGGTCGCAGCTCGAGATGCTGCAGAAGCGCGAAAAGCACCTGATGGCGCAGATGGAGGAGCAAGACGCCATCGCCAGGAAGCACGTCAACACGAATAAAGCCGGTAAGCTATTTTTCTTGACTTGTTTATGACACTTGGTTCGTCGCGCGCGCTTTGAAAAAACTGACACGCGAGCGAAACAACAGCCGCGAAAGCAGCCCTGCGGAGGAAGAAGGGCCACGAGCACAGCCTCGAGCAGACAATATCGCAGATCGGCACGCTGGAACAACAAATCAACGCCATCGAGTCGGCCAACATCAACCGCGAGACCCTCGCCGCGATGCAGAGGGCGGGCGAGGCGATGCGCGATATCCACGGGAAGCTCACGCCGGAAAAGGTCGACGAGACAATGTACGTCCTCGGTCTTCGGACCCTCCTCCTTCTCCTCCCGGTGTACAATGCAGCTTACCAGGATAAACTTAGGGACAAACTCCGAGAACAGAACGCGCTCAGCGAGGAGATCGTCGCGGCCATCACGAGCGCGCACATCGGCGAGACGGTGGACGACACCGAGCTGGACGAAGAGCTGGACGCGCTCATGCAGGAACAGCTCGACAAGAAGATGCTCGAGTCCGGTACCGTACCCGTGTCGGATGCTATTCACAGGATGCCGGCGGTTGGAAACACAGAGAGTAAGCTTACCTATATATATATATTCCCCCTTTAATAATACTCTTTCTATCCCGCATCTGCTAAATACCCTTGAACAGTCCAAACCAAACCCCAGGCCGTCGCAGAAGACGACGACGACGAAGCAGAACTGCGCAAGTTGCAAGCCGAGATGGCCATGTGAAGAAGCAACTTAACCCCAAATAACCTACTTACCTGACCTGCTTTGCCTTTTTCGCGTTAAGCCATCACCATCGCGAAGCTTTGGATCCTAGTAAGAATAACTACCTAACCTTAGGGTAGTAAGTAATAATAGAGAAGTCTAGAATGGACGAATGAATTGCACAAGGGGAGAAGGGGGCGGCGACGAGATCTTGATAGGTGCCTACGTAGGAGGTAGCTTTCGAGTTGCGCGGAAACTAGAAGCTTGGATCACCTCATAACCGGTCTTCCGGGTGAAGTTGTTAGATGCATTAGCAGTCTCTTTCCGAGTCATGTTTATTTTTTGTTTCTTCCCCTGTTCCTGATTACGGCGTTGGCGTTGTGAGAAGACTATACGGTGTGGTGCTTCATTGGCAGTTACATATTTTTTTTCAGCACATCCAGTTAGTGGACGGGAGATGAGTAGTCTAGGTATCTACATAAATTTTTGCTCGTAACAATGTCACTGGCGCGAGACCATCTTTGAAGCATATGCATTCTTCCCGTATTCCCTGTCTTCGTAACTCCGTGTATCTAATGTTTTCATCTCAAACGCGTTAACTGTCTTTCTAATGGGACTGTACATAATATTATAATGTCTCTTGTTTTAATCGATAGAAACCATCCAGGTTAGGAGGTACCTGAACATGGGTGTTTTTGTCTCAGCCAAATGACAGAATTTAATAGGCAGGAAACTTCAATCAGATAGATCTTCATCGTCAACTTTCGTTGTCGGGTGCATATCCATTACCCAATTTGAAGGTCTTCTAGAGCATGAAGTTGCTTTCTAGAGGTGAACCCGAACCGTTTAGACACAACTTTGACGCTCCGCAAGGCGCAAGTAGAATGACTTCTACTTTCGACCAGCTTCAGGGCTCTGTGTCATGAGTCTCGCTCGAGACTCCTTGGAACAAAGGAGTTATTCTGTATATAGCTTTGGCTTCAAAGCTACTGTAGTTAGAGTTCCTTGCGGAACAACGAAGTTGTTTTACCTACTGCATGCTCAGCGACGTTACACTCTGGATCTGGACCCTTATCCTGCTCTGAGCCTTCCTTGTATGTTCTTGGAATATCCCAGTGGACAAGAATCATGGTTGTAGTTTGTCGTTTCCCTTCCCCGGTGCAGAGTCTTACTTTTAAAAGCCGACTATGCTCTCGCGAGGTCATTGTAAAGCTTGCGATGATATTCCACTTGTGCTCGGTTCGAGTTTTCAACCAATCTTCTCATAGTGTCGACGTCGTGTATATACGCCCTCTCTAAGGCTCTGAGGCTCTTCTCGAAGCGGTCACTACAGTTGAAATATGTGTGGGGAATTTCCTCGAATTACCCCCAAGGCTCCCAGGCAGCTCGAGTCGAAGCCAATGACGCATACATACGGGCAATGGACTTAATATTTCTGTGCCAAGAATAAATAAGTTCTTCGTCGTCGATGTCTCGTCTAGAGCCCTGGCGATTGCAAAATTGCCAGAGCTCTTGAACCCCTTGTCTTGCTGGGGTGTTGCGCGGACTTTTACCCGTCGCGCGCTGAATTCCCAAAGAAATCAGTACCGGTATGTGCTGGTATCTCGACAATATGTCTGCCAATTGTTCCAGTTGCGGCAACGATGTTGTGACCCTGATCCCGAGGGGATGCTCGAAGGTTGTTTGCATATAACAAGGGGATTGTCACAGTAGTGAAATATGAAATAAGTACTGTCCCTGTTTCAAGTGTGGCACGCAGTCGCCGAAACCCTGATCACCCCGCATCTTGAAGTTTCCCCGTTGAATAGACGGGAAAAAGAACGTGTGACCTTCGGACTGTTCGTTGAAATATTCGCCTTGATAAATTGCGGTGCTGTTTAAATGTTTAGTATGGGTCATGAAAAATTGGAGGTGAGTTAACATACCTTTGCACAAGGTGCTGTCACCACTTTTCCCCAAGCTCTTTTGAGAAGGGGTGTTTTGGTTAATAGAAACTTTTAGGATTTAGGCTGATTTAATAGTAGTGCTCTACTTCGTTGGATTCTGTAGCACCTTAATAGAGTTCCTATCTCTGGGTATGCTTATACTGTCGGAAGTGGCATTCCTTCCTTATTTTATATTCAACGGACTTATGCATTGAGCTCTGTAGATAGTAGCCCTTTTAGGCACCTTGACTTCCTTAGTTGAGTGTAGGAACGACGTCGCGTCTTTGGTGATTCTATTGCAACATGATAATTAGAAAATTACATCTAATAGAATAGCAATAAGGGGAACTCACAGATTAAAGTAATCACGACAGCATGTATGCCGGTAACGCCGGACTGGTTTTTAACCAAGTACTATGATATGGCTAAACTTGGCTGAAATGGCGAGTTCAAGACTCAAGTTTAGCAGCACGTTGGGGTTGTCAGCAATTATCAGGTAGGAAAGGATATCATGAGTGAGATTGACTTACAGCTTCAAAGGCAATGATCGTAAACATCGTCTTCGTATTCCATCCGGCTGAGGGACCTATGGATATCCCCACGTTTGTCTTTCCACCTTGTGGCAGGTTACGTGGTGTCATTGTCAATGCTTGTATCAATGGGTAGTACAGCTCGAGGTTCGAGACGTGGAAAGCTCGTCAGTCCGTGCGCTATAGTCGTGTGGAGAAACAAGAAACTATGATTTCCTTGGAAAGTGTTGTAAATGGGCTATCAACCCATTTGCGGTTTCTGGTTTCTTTGGTTCAGGGCAGAGCATGGCAGCCCTCCAAAGTGGTACCAAGGTGAAGTTTCAATAAAGAACGTGCAAATATGCGCGATTCTGGGCACCACAGTATACCTTAGGTAGGTACCTAACCTTATATTGATTGGCTTTGGCGTGGTCTCCAACAGATGAAGGCCGGTGTGATGTTAGGAATAAAGTAAAGAGTTATGGGCAAGTAGAAATAATAGAGGTGGGTAGGAGGTAATCAAGGAATCTTTCGATTCTGAAGAAGTTGCGATGACTCAACACGAAATGATGCAAACGTATGTTATGATCAAATGCTGTTGATCAGACTCTTTACTGGGTAGGAAAAGGGGAGTGGGAAATTGTAGCTGCCTCGAGGCAATGCTCATAGGTAGAAGGAAAATACATCGAGGTAGTGTATTGCTTGCCTCTGTAATATCCTAGTGTACCTAATATAAGAGGTCAGGTGTAGTGTGTGTACTTAATAAACCAATAGAGTGTGAAGGAGATGAGTTTGTGTGAAGGTGGTAAGGAAGTTAAGGAAGGGTAGGAATGTAAATCAGGTAAGAAAGTTAGGGAAGGGAAGGGTGGGAGTGTAAAGAAGGTATATATATATTTTTAAGAAAAATAAGGAAGTTAAGGAAAGGAAAGCAAGGAAGCAAAGTGAAGTAAAGAAGGGAAGGAAGGGAGGGGAAGGGAGGGGAAGGAAAGAGAAGGGGAGGGAAGGAAAGGAAAGGGAAAGAAAGGTAATTAAAGAAGGTAGGGAAGGTAGGGAAGGTAAACAAGGTAGGAGGTGCCTTAGGTTAATATATTAGCAACGGCTCGCATTGACTATACGACTTGCGTAGAGCTTAGCTCGTCGATCTTAGCTTTAGGACGTTTTGCTTCTGTGGCTCTCAACCTCCAAGGGTAAGTACCTAAGGGTTAGCATAGGTAAAGGGGACCCGGGGTCTTCGAAGGAGAGTAGGGAGGCAAGAGATACATATGTCACTTCTATTATAATAATGTAGTTACTGTTTCTAGTATTCTCTCTACGTATGGCAGTTGGCATGGTTATTCTCTAATACCAATGTACTTGCCTACCTAATATTAGGATCTTGAATAAGAAGTTCAGAACAGTGGACAGCTTTGACAGGTTCCGTGTGGCCAAGAGGCTTTCATCGTTGCGTTGAAATTCCTCTTGGAGTAGCGAAGTTGTTGTCATGTCGTTGATTCTACCACGTGACAGGAAGTAACAGAGAAACGGAGGCTGTTGTTTGATATTAACTTCGGTACTTAAGCTAATCAAAGAGTTACAGTTAAAGTCGGATTCTGAAACCAGACCAATAAGAGACAAAGTTCCGGTATTTCTTCTTGGGAATATCACAGGAGCGAATGTAAAGTATCACTCGGACGAAGTTTTGATTATGTCTTTGCCTACCTGCATAGTAAGGTATCATCGACTATTAGGGACAGAGGGACCAGAGTGGTGTTCATCTAGGCACCGTCTTTACATGGCATAATAGCTTCAACACAACACTTAGTGGGCTCTACGAAACCTAGAACATATGAATGATAAAAGCGAAAGATGATTTGCACGTATATTTTCTATAAGCTGAATTTCTTAGTTAAATTTGAAATCTAGCAGAGTTTGGCATATCTTTAAAAAATCGGCTTGTCATTGCATCTGACGTGCACAGGTTACGAAAGAAAGAAGACGGCGTCATGTAAAATAAAATATAGCTTGATATGTGATAGGTAATGTACATCTTACTTGAAGCTACAAAGAAATAAATAATAGAAAATGTTTAACTTTACCAAACAAACCACCAAGTAGAAAAAAGATTTTCAGTTTATATTGTTCAGTGATGTTACAAGTTATCAGTGGTGAGAAGTCTCCCGGTTTGCCGCTATTGCCAAGAGCAAGGAGGAATAAGGGGGAGCAAGCAAGGGGTAAATTTAGCATTAGGTACAAATAAGGTCGAAATGTTTACCTGGCACCTAACCTAACATTATAATTATTCCCAAGCTATTCTAAGCTGTCCTCGAAACTCATCAAGTCTCCCTTATCCATTGAGCTCCCCGGCACTGACAACACTAGATCCACGCATCAAATTATGAACTTCATTGGTATGGCAATTGCCTATCGGTGGAGGACCAGTTGGCTTAACGGCAGCTAATACTTAAGCTTGTCAGTTGCATAAAGCCGTGGTCTTGTATTCTAAAACTTACCGGGACGCCAGGGCCGGCCATATGCACATGATTCTTCCCTGGGATCATAAGAGCCCCGAGGAGTATCACAACGCGGCTAGGCAGAATATTATGGAGAACTGCTCGACTATCTAGTTCGCCGACGTTGTTGGTACCTAAGTCGCCAAGAAAGATGCCACGCCCTTCGAAGTTATTGATGCAAACGGTAAGACGTGGAATTTTCCGAAGGTAAATCTCGCCGTTGGATCTACTGATATCTACCCTAATATCGAGGGGAATGAAGGATTGTGGAAGAAGCGAATGTATGGTGCATCATTCTCGGCTATTTCTCCTAGGTAGTCCTGAACTGATGTTAACATAAGTTTAGGTAGTTTCCACTGCTTATTGTGTCATGGACACGGAGATAGGGGCGATAGATGTTGATCTCTTCATTGGCGACTATACTGGCCAGGTATCATATCCCTCGTGAGGCTGGACTGATCAAACTCGATACTTCTAAGATCAGTAAAATATCATCTTCTCTTCATGCCTATCTCGCGGATATCTACCTCCTAGTGTAGATATGCGGGGTATTTCACATGTGCCTCTACATCTATGTAGGTTTTGCCTTACAAATACATCGTTATACAGCATGTGCCGATATACCTAGAAAGCACTTAGCCGTTTCTTCTAGAACAGTACGGGATCCCATGTGAATAGCACGAGATATGATACTACGTCGTACCCTTTGCCTCGATAGCAACGCCTAGTAAGACTTCAAACGCTTCCACGCGGGTAGTACAGATGAGGTGGCAAGGCTTTTGATCTCTCGTAATATTATAACGGTCACGCGATGGGCTTTGATAACTGTATTACAGACCACCCCCCTCCCCCATGATGCTTGTGTATACTTTATAGTATTGTACGTTCTTTACGCTTACTAGAAGGTCTTTGCTAATGGCTCCCGCGCACCCCCATGGGGTTCCTTTTGTTAGTAGGAACAGGGGTAGATAATAGTGACCTAGTTGTCGTTGGGAAAATGGCATGAATGGATACCCGATGAAGCAGGGTTAAAAAATAGCAAGTTTGTTCGGATATTGTTGATGAAACCGGACAGTTTTGGGCTCGAAAAAATGGTTGATAGCAACTTGTATTGTACTACCAGGTACCTACCTACCTAGGTAGCTGTAGGTGGGCTTTGAGGTACAATACCTAAAATCAGGATTCTGCAGGGTGATAAGGCCATGTCAATAGGGACTCTGTCCGCACCTACCTAAGGTACCTACCTACCTGGTACCTAACCTAAAAGCTTTGTTCTTATCGATAGGCTATTGCCGCTCAGCAATCAATTAACCCCAATTGACCCCCATTATTTGTCAATTAATCGTGTTTAAACTCGTCTTGTAACTTGCCAAAACTCTACAACTTTTTTTGTTTTGGTTCTAATCGCTCGCGCCGAGCTGCACCATCTCCTCACTTGCCACACTGGCGGGTTGCGGGCGGACCTCAATTAGACAGGACAATCGAGGGACAAGACAGATCTCATCCAACCTTTTCGGTCCAATAAAAGCTTTATCAATTCCCACCCCGCTCGCCTTGCTGAGTGATTGGTTTTACCGCTGCCGGATCCATCAATCTGCTCATAATTCAAGCCAACGAGGACGACCACGTTGCACATAAGACTAATCCCGTATCATGCAAGCTGCATTGGTCCTGTCGGTTAGCGGTTAGGCGGCTTCACCCACCGCGGCCAATTGAGGGGACCATTTAGAAGCCGTTCAGAAACCACTTATTACATACGATGCCGATGCCTCTTTGTATCGTTGCATTCGCGAGGCGTAGTCAGCATCAGAGGTTATCTTTGAATATCTCGCTCCTGGCTATGACCAAGTGGTCGTGCGTCATGCTGTCGAACTTTTCGTTCGCCTCCCTATCCATCCCATTCCGCCTTTCAGCCATCCAACCTTACATCCAACCACCTAATCCCATCTCCCGGAGCTTTTCTACGTGGGTCTGACCCCATTCTTATTCCGTCTCCTTGCAGTTCCTATTGATTGTTGGGCCGCTACTAACTTCCTTGTCGAGTTATAACGATTGCATTGCCTCTTGCTTGGAAATTTCGCGATTGACTACTTTGGCTCCAGATCCAGATCTTATCTCAACCCCTACACTAGCCCAACCCCCTTCGCGACGTGGCGCCAATACCTTCGTGTCCATCCGCGGCTCTTAAGCACGACATGGGTCACAGAAGCGTGAGATCTCGCTCCACTTTGCTACAACCAAACCGTGGGGTATTGCCTCATGTCTCATCCAAGTAGTCCGGCTCGATAACCAGTACCTACATGAGGTAGGTAGTGCTCGATAATGTACCGTAGCTATCGATTATGTGCGTGCAGTGTGCACGTCTTACCTTAGGTACAGGCTGCGGTTGGTCTCGTTCTTCCAAACGTCATTTATCGTTCCGAGTTCGCATATTGAGAGAATTCTTTACGTTCCATACGCCCATCTTCTGTCCAGTCAACTCATTCCCCTTCCATCCATTCTCAGGACCGTAATTATTTTTCATAGGTAGAGCCCACATGGTCCGCTCTATTTTCATCTAGTCGTCGCATTTTGTTTGGTTTGGGTCCAGATACCCAGTAGCAGCAGTATTAGCTGTATTTGGCAGTTCGGTCGCCCAATAGCTTCACTAGAGCCTCTGCAAATACCCGCATCAAACTCGTCACTCTGCATAGGGCATAACTGGTATAATTTTTTATTTTTCAATCGCGGGTAAGACGTGAATTTCACGCACCGGCGGAATATGTCGGATAAAGGAGGAATTTCGTATAGCCCTGCCCGGATCAATCCATATGCAAACGTTAAAGTAGCTAGCTATCCAGGGCATGTTCAAGTAGCCGACTATTCGAAAATAACGTATTTTAATTCTCAAGGGCCGGAAGAGCAAGAAGAAGAGCAAGAAGAAGGAGAAGAAGAAGAAGAAGAAGAAGCCGTAGACCAAGGTAACCTATATGAATAAATCTTTGCGATTTTAATTGTTTGCGCTAATACGCTCTACAGATTATGAGCCGGAATACGATGTAAATGAAAAGCAGTTTGAGCCTCCAGCACCTTACAATTCCTCTCCCACGATAACCTCACCTGCCGTAATATCACATAAGGCGAAGAAAGAAAAGGCAAAATCACCTACGCTAAAAGAACCAGCTCCAGAGAAGGAACCTAGTTTGCCACTCACAGCAAATCAAAGAAAACAAGCCAAGAGGAGGGAAAGGGACAAGGCCAAAAAGAGTGCGAAAAATGCCAAGATGACGGCAAACGCCGAATCGTCAGAACCACCGCTGCCGCCAGCATCAGAAGCTGTCCCAGCCGAGCCTCCTCAGGATAAGGCTGATGAACCAGAGGACACATCCCCATCACCAGAACCTCAAAACTCGGATTCATCTAAACCTTCCGAGCCCTCTGAGCCTCCTGAACCCCCTGGGAAGCCTGATGGGGGTGAACTAGCAGAGGCGAAGGATGAGCAGGCAATTGAGGCTGAGGCCTCACCACCGGCCGAGCCAGAAAACGTACCTTCAGGCGAACAGCCTAGCGAGCAAGAAGCAACAGAACCGGCGTCGGATACTGTGAGTTCAAGTCTCTGAAAATTTCAGCCTTCATATGTAAACGTTAGCCTACACAGGATCAAACTAGGTTGACAATAACGTCATCGAGAATTACTGACATATCGTAGGTCCACGAGGCAGATGTATCCAAGTCTCCTCAATTAGAGAAGGCGGATGTAACTGCTGATGCACATCCAACCAGTACTGCTGAGGGCGATGCGCCTGCGGATGTACAAGGACCGGACGCACCAAACCCCAGTAACGAGGAATCAAAGCCGGACGCAAGCGAGCAGGATCCGAGTGGAGCTTGCGAAACCATTGGGGAGCATCCCGGCGAAAGCAACGACCAAGAGACTACACCAACCACAGACGAAGGAGCTATATCGGAGCCTCAGACAGGGGAAGCTGTGGATGCGTCAACAGTTGAGTCTGAGGAGTTAAAGGACGCCCTCGGGCAGGATCCAAAAGCAGATAGTATAAAACCTGAAAATACTGCACCCGGAAGCACATCTGATTCCAAGTCAGACTCAGCTGCCGCCATCGAGATAAATGAGTCTCCAGATACACCAAAGGCGGATGCGGAAACAGTCGAGGAAAGCGGTAAATTGGAGCAGTCGGAAGGTACACAAAAAGCCGAAATCGAAGAGGCGAATGAGGCATTAGCCGATGGAAACCCCCCTGGCGGTGCAGACGAAAAGCTCGACCAGTCCAAAGATCCTCAGGATCCTACACCTGAACTAAGTGACGAGGACGCCGCGGCTGGCGAGGCGGTACAATCAACTAGTACCAAGGATGAGCCTAGTGGCGAAGCTATCAAACAAGAGGCTTCTAATGATCTAGAGCCACCCGAGGTCTCACTAGAAAGTCCAGAAACTTCCCAGAATAAGGATACCGCGGCAGACACTAACGAGCGAGCAACCGAGCCACAGGAACAAGCCGACAAGACCGGAGCGGCTGACCTTCCTGAAATTAATGAGAACGAGAATCAACCCGTAGTTGTGGCTAAGGCCGTGGAGGACGTAGAGGAGACTGACGATACGATAAACACAGAGGATATGCCTGCGACACAGCCACCCGAGGGTGAAACTACTGACCAAACAGAGAAACACTCGGAAGATTCCGCTCTTGTCAAAAAACAAGAACAAGCGGACACCTCTGAACGGGTTGCAAACATTCCAGACTCTGCTATTGCCGATGCTTCGGAGGCTCTGGATGACCCGGATGCTCCGGTGGTCCCGTCAAACGATAACTCGGAGAAGCTTCCTGAAACCGATGTAGAGCCCGTAGAAGAGACTAACGATTTAAAGGTTCCCGACGAGGCAAGTTCAAGTTCGACAGGAGACGCGGGCGATGGTTTTGCTACAGAACCTACCACAGAGCTAGACAAATCTCAAGAATCTGAGATTGCTCCAGACCACGAAGCTAAAGAGCAGTCCGCGCCCCCTGAGGAAACGGCTACAGAGCCCCTACCCGCGCCTGAGCTGCCTACTGATATCCCCACCGCTGACGCAGTCAGCGCACAGGATAAGTCTAGTTCTCAAGAATCCGCCCCCGAAACGTCCGCTCCTGAGGAGCTAGTTCCTCTAGCACCTCCTTCTGAAGAAGCATCCACTCAAAGCACTACTTCTGAAGCGGTCGCTCCAGAAGAACCTGCTTCCCATGAAACTGTCTCGAAAGAATCCGTTACTGAAAAGTCCGTTCCTGAAGAATCCAAGACCCAAGAGCCCTCTTCTCAAGAAGCTATCCCGGAAGAGCCCGTTCCCAAAGACCCAGCCTCTCTGGAGTCCACTGCCCCTACTTCCGAAACTCCCATACCTCCAGAACATACCCCTGAAGAAGTTGTCTCCCCAGCCTCTCCACGGGAAAACGTCGCTCAAGACCCATCTTCTGAAGATCTCGTAGCAAAAGATGTTTCTGAAGACCCCGCTCTTAAAGAACCTATCTTAGAGGAACCTATTTCCGAAGAGGCTGTTTCTCAAGAGGCTGTTTCCGAAGACACGGTCTCTAATGAGATAGAATCTCAAGAACCAGCCGCCGAAGAGCCCGCTGAAAACTCGGGTTCTCAGGATCCTAGCCCTGATAAAACCGACGCGCAAGAGCCTGTTTCTGAAAAGCCCAAATCTCAAGAATCTATGCCGCAAGAAGCCGACCCCAAAGTTCCTGAAGATGCTGTCACTGAAAAGCTTGCTCCTGAAGAACTTGAGACTCAGGATTCGGATTCTAAAGAATCCGTTGTCGAAGAAGCAGTTCTTCAAGAAATAGACTCAAAAGACTCCGTCTCTCAAGATACTACCCCCGAAGGAACTGTTTCTCAGGAGCCCGTTCCCCAAGACCCAGCTACCAATGACCAGAGCCTATCAAACGACCCTTCTTCCCCGGATGAATCTCTTGCAGCACCCAAGGACGAGGTGACACCCTCACCTGAAAAGTCCGCGGAGGAACCTGAAATTGCCGCGCTAGAGTCGAGTCCATCTGCTAATAATAGCGATGAGCATTCGAGTCCCGAATCTCCTCCGGCATCCACTGATAAGCCCGCTGAAGAGCCTATTCAGGAAGTAATCTCTCCTGAGCCAGCTATCTCAACTGAGAATAATCAATCGGAGCAGCAACCAGAAAGTTCGAGCGACGGAGATGAGGCTAGTACTGCTGTCTCATCATCCGAGGATGGCATTGTCGTTGTTGATAAGCCAGAAGGTGGAGTAGATGGCACCGCGGACATTTCAGAGCAGCAAGAACAACCAAATGACGAAGAGCCGAACGATCATTCGCAACAAGATACCAAAGAAGAACCTCAAAGTACGGCTCCTACCGAGTCCGCTATCAAAGATTCTCAAGACAAAGACAAGGATTCGCCTACTCCCACTGAGGCCCAGGGGCCTGTTGGAAACGATAACGATGAATCCAATAGCGCCCAATCTAAAGACACTGACAGCCTAAGCATCGAAGGGGATATCGCGAAACCCGCGGAGTCTCTCCCAGAGGATACTACACCATCTGAGGCAGAAGAACATCAGCCAGAAACGGAGAAGCAAGAACTTGATACAAATGTCAACATTCAAGCCGAAAAGCAGGCGGAATCAGACGAAAGTTTAGAAGCTCCTCAAGACGAAGAAAAAACGCCCTCAGAGCCTACTCCAGTGGATGTCAATGCCGAAGCATCAGAGCCAAAGGTCGATAGTGAAGCGCAAGTCACCGAAACCAAGGAAGAGACACCCATGAACCCCGATGTGTCTAACCCAGAAGTAGCCATTGAGTCTGAAGAACCATATCCGAAGGATGATACAGATAGCCCTTCTCCTAATGTAGAGGAGAAGGGCGTCGAAGGGGATGCGCCAGTCGAGCATGCGCCAGTTGAGCATGCGCTGGACAGTAGTGTTTCCCAGTCAACCCCAGCAGACGAGGCTAGTCACAATGACGAAACAATCCCGGAATCTGAAGTATTGGCTCTGAATGATGCACCTCTTGGCAAGTCCGAGTCCGATCTTAACGAAACTGTTCCTGTCATTGAAATTGAACCAAGTTCAAAGACTTCAACCGAACCAGAGTCGCCCCAACAAGTGGACAATAAAGAAATACCCGATAGTAAGCCTGGCCCCGAAGCGGAATCAACACCTCAGGTCCTTACGGAAGATCCAGTAGAAGAACCAGCTAGAGAAGCCGAGAAACAGCCAGATCCAACCTCGCCGCCTGAGGAAGAGTTAAGCGAAAAGATAACCCAAGAGCCCGCGAAACTCGCTGATGAGGGTGATCAACCGGCAGAACAGGCATCAGTCGCTTCTGAGACGGAGAAGCACGGATACCCCGAGCCTACTGAGTCTTCTGATCCAGGGCAAGAAGAACAATCAGACTCAAACCCAACCCCGGTTCTAGAAGAGCCTGAGCAACTCAAGCAACTCAACGAAGGAAAGCCAGAGAAAAAAGAGGAAGGCGATGCAGGGGAGCAGGATGAATCCGACAAAAGCTCCCCTGAAACCCCGGCGATCGTCGGAGTGCCGCCAACTATTTTGGAAGACCAAACTAATGTTGATCAAGCTGAGCTAGATACCTCAAAATTAACCGAATCAACGGAATCCATGTCTCAATCACCCGCCGATGATACGCAGAGTTCTGAGGTTGAAAACAAGGAAGAAGAGAGTATTGGTCAAGCAAAGGAACAAGCGCCCGCATCATCACCCGTACCAACCGAATCTCCAACCGAACCACCAAAATCGCCTATTCGTGAGAGTGATGGATCTCAGGATATAGTTCCTCAGGATTTATCACTAACCAAAGAAGCTCAAACCGAGCCGCAACTGGCTGAACAAGATTCAGGCGCGCATAAAGACCCTGGTTCTGGTGCTTCACAAAGTGACTCCGAACACGAGCCAGCTGCCGTCGAACAGCCAGAACCAGAGCACGAATCACATGAGGCTATTCAAGAAGAATCAGCTACCTCCGAAAAGGGGATTACCGAGGACCAGCCGGTTTCCAATGAACAGGTGGTAGTTGAACAAACTTCTACTGCTTCCGTTGACGACCAGGCGCTCGCCGAAACCCACGATGCTGAAGAAACTGTCTCTGTTGAACCAACATCTACCGAAATCACTACGGAAGACCATGCAGATGATAAGCTGTCAAGCGAAATTCCTGTGCCAGACCAGTCGCAGGAAAACGAGGCGAAAGAGGCAGTGGATCACGACGGCCAGGACAGTCCAGGAGAGTCTGCCAGCGCCACGCTAGGTAAAGTTGATGAAGAGCCAGAATCTTCCGAGTCCATTCAAGAACAGGCTCCTGCCGAAATCCAGGTATCTGTAGATCAAACCCTTACCGAAGACAACCCAACGGAAGATAAATCAGCGAATGACAAGCCTACAGAGGGCCAGGCTTTCGCTGAAGACAAAGCCCCTGTCGAAGAGAAGGCATCTGTTGAGAGCAACACGCCCGTCACTTCTAGTGATTCAAATCATGCCGATGATACCGTTCCAGTGGTAGTTGACTTGTCCGCAGACAAGGTGCCTGAATCTGAGCTACAACAACCTCAAAAGGAAGAAGCAGAGGCTGCAGAGCCCAGCGACCAAACTACCGTAACAGAACCTCCTGTTGATACGGCACATGAGCTGGATAACGACCCTGCAGTTTCTGAGCCCACTGAAGACGATATCCCTGACAAATCAGTCTCTAAGCCCGCTGTGACGGCTGAAGCCGAAGAGTCCGTGGACGAGGAACCGAAGCAAGAGTTGCCAAGCGGCACTGTCATAGCTGATGAGCCACCAGCGAACGAAAAGAGCGAGGTTAAAAGCCATGCCGATAGCCCCGTTGAAGGAACAGACGTGATTAACGTCCAAGGTAACAAGGAAGGATCCGATACTTTCCCGCCAGATTCTACAACTGGCGACCAAGTTCTTCCTCAAGAGTCCGAGTTATCGAATGAAGCTATTACTCGAAATCAGCCACCAGAGAACAGAGAGACAGATGCCACTGGCGCCAACAATAAGGCCACTCCAGAGGACCCAGAGGTAGTCCATACACAAGACAGCCAGAGTGAAGATATCGTTGCTATTCTGTCGGAATCCTCTATCAAGGAGCCAACTATCTCTGACGGGGCAGAAAGCTTGCCCAACACATCTTCTGCTGATACTACGCAATCCATTACTACGGTCTCGGAGCCTCCTGCTGATGACAGTACCAAACAAGGCCTTGCTCGGAAATCTGAAGATCACGCAACGGATAAAGCTATTGACAATGTAGAACAGCGGGAGGTTTCATGTGATGATACACCAGTACCTCTCGCTTCTAAGGACCTACCGAAGAATGGCGACGACAAAGCTATCGAAGAAGTCAAGGCGGAACCTGAGCAGGTCCAACCTACAGAAAGCAGTGAACTTACTAATGCCGAGGCGATTGTAAAGGCTGGGGCAGTCTCAACAGACGACAGTCCTGTAGCTGCTGTGGACGAAACGCCTTTGTCCAAGGATGCACCGGCTCCAGAAGCGGAGGGAGACGACTTACCTATCATAACTAAAGGTTTGACACCCCCATCTGACGAAAAGGTAGATCAGAAAGCCGCTAGACAACCCTTAGCTAAATCCGAAGAAGCCGAAAATTCCGCCAAGCAGCCGCATAGTGAAATTTCTGTGCCGGAACAAACGCGAGGAAAAGAGAATAATGTACATCCGACTGAAAAAGTCGTTCCAAAAGAGCCGCTTCGTGATGCTATCATGAGAGATCAAACCCAGGATGATGAAGAGGCGCCCCGAACGACCAGCGGCAAGGCTGTTTTAGTGGAGCGAGCCATTAAGAAACGGCTGGAACTTATGAAAGCGCCTAAAGAAAATGACAGGGCAACTGAGAAGGACAAAGTCAAGAAGATACGGAGTGATGATGAGAGCAAAGACACGGTTGGGCCCATCCCGACCGATGGTGAGCCAGTCCGGAAGGCCTCGAAAGGTGAGGATCAATTGTTTTCAAGTTTTGTAGGAGATACCCCTGTTGTTGGAGCGATTGATTTTCATGATACCCCCAAGTCATTTACAGAGCGTTTGTTTTCAGTTGAGGGAGCGAAGGATTTGAAGGAGGACGATGAAGATGTTGCAGATGTGTCTGAACCAATCCGGCTCGAAAGAAGCTTAGCTGCCCGCGAGCTATCTCCAGAGCCTTGGGAGGAGATTGAAACCTCTCGCAAATCATTAACCGAGAATCATCCTGGTATGCCGAACGAACAAAGCGGGTATATTGAATCCGCTCATGTTTCGCCTTTGGAAGTACACGAAACAACCAAGCGTGACCGATCACCGGGACACCAGAACATTTCTGATGGGGACGTGGAGGCGTCTCTAAAAGCACGATCCGTAGTAGGCGCAAGAATTCCTTCCCCGATTGACGATGCAGCTTCTCCACAAGCACAAGATAACGAAGGTATTATTTCAGAAATACTGGAAGAACTTGGGCTTAGTATTAGGAGCGATTCGAGAAGTCATCCGAGAGTTACTGCGGATATTTCGGACGATGAATCTTCATCCGGTGACATCGAGGAGCTGGTTGGTGAGAGACGACAAGAAACTCGCTCAAACCAATCCGTTCCAGCTTCTGAAGCCTCCATTCATCATGATTCACTCGAGCAATTCCATGATTCGAGCTTTGTCGATATCTCCAACGTCGACCTCGAGACTAGCCAAGAACTCTCATCTCAAGAACCAGATAAAGACACGAAGTACGATCGTTCAACCTCATTGAAAGGGTTTCAATCTGAGGACAGAGGACTTGTCGCTTCAGGGTCATTAGGATACAGCCCAGATTTGAGTAAAGAGTCCTCGGCCCACCAAGAACCCGAATCCATTTCGCCCGACACGACGGAGGTATTAGATATAACAACGGTGTCTGATATTACATCCGTTCCGACGGATGTAAAACAACCAACAGGTGACGCAGATAACGCAAGGGATTACGGAGGCATGATAACAGCAGGAATTTTCAGGCCTACGGCATTCTCATTTCTTGGCCGTGAACTCGCTCGGCGGCACCTAGTAAAGGACGAAGACGAGCCAGCAGCGTCCAATCGGGCACCTAACTCGAGAGAGGCCCCCGTAGAAAGTCCAGAAGAATCTGAACCAATAGCTGTATCTACAGACATCGGCCAATTAGAGGAATCCATCATCTCTCTACCAGATGAGGGTAGCGGGGAGCCCACTTCGCCCCAAAGACTATCTAAGTCAGCCGACCGCGTCGACATGTCTGTACCTACCAAGGACGAATCGGATCATGAAATCGAAGTAATTCGTAATGATTCCCCCCAGCAAGCCGCCGAGTCCCCAGGTTTCCCTCGTGTTATTGCACCCGAGTCGCCAGAGATCGTAGCATCGACCATACCTCTCTCCGAATCATTTACAGTGGTCGAGAAGATACATATTCCGCAAAGGAACAGCAAGCGAACGCTTAGGCCATCTCTAGTACATTCAGGAACTCAGACTGAAGATGACTTTGATTTTGGCTCTCAACCAAGTTGGAGTTTTGTCAACATTGCTGATCTGGATCCTCGTTCGAGAACTCCAGGAATCATTCTTCCCGACCCAACAGACTCCAAAGCAAAAGCCTTAGGTCGGGCAAAGAGTGTCAGAAAGCGGCGCAGGCAAACCTATAGGCAGGTAGAGGAAGCGGTAGCAACTGCTGTAATATTATATGCTGCAGCTCAGGAGCTTGGCCCTTCATCCAGTTCTCTATTGGGTAGTGCCCAGGTTGAGAATGATATAGGTGGAACGCTAGAGCCCACTCAGAAGGATGTGCAAGAAGCGGATTATTTTTCTTCGTCAGATTTTGTAGCAGGAAATCAGAGCGTTGGCCAAAATGATCATTCATTGCCCGTTGCTGACCTGTCTACAGATGACGAAGAAAAGAAATCCGCTGACGAGCGACGTCACAGGCACCGGCGCCATCATCATCACCATCAGCATCACCATTCTTCCCGATCAAAGGATAGTAAGGGTAGTGGCGAGCACCTTCAGCCTCGTAATACCCGGCTCGAGAGCAACCACTCGGTGAAGTCTTCTTCTGATCGCTCGATTCCCCAATCGTCCAAGAGAGACAGCGGCTTCTCTGTTGAAAGCTCGCGTACAACTGGTTCTTCAGGTCACCACAGACATCGTACCCCCGAAGAACAAGCTGCTCATGAACGGCGAAAGGAAGAACGACGCGCCGCTCGTGAGGCTTACGAGAGGGCACAAGAAGGTAGAGGCAAGGACCCGGAGACACCAACAAGTGATCGGCACTCTTCCCACCGCAGCTCCAGGCGACACAGTACATCTCACTCAGAGAAGTCGCACGCTGAAAGACGTTCCGAAAGGTCTCAGCCCGAGAAATATCCCGAAAGATCCTTTACGGAAAGGTACGCCGAGAGACCCCAATCCGAAAGGTACTCGGAACGGTCTCACTCCGAGAGATACCCGGCGAAGGACAGTGCTTCATCTTCAAATAAGAGGTTCTTCGACGTGAAGCATGGCGAAAGCAGTATAACATCGAATTATGCCCCTCGCACCAGAAGCAACAGTACCAACGTCCCTCCGCCAGTGCTCAGAGAGCCGTCGAAATCCGGTCCCCTTAAACGGACCAACACTGGCAGATCGAGCAGGGCCCATGCAGGAGACTCCGGGGAGATTCCGCGGCCGAGGAGCCATAGATCTCACGACCACGACCACGGTCACGAACATGAACATGAACATGTTTATGACGACTCATCAAAGAGACGAAGGTCAGAAGCAAAGGTCAGCGGCTCGGTCGAGTCTACCAGTTCGAAAGCCGCTCCTCCTCCTCCTTCGCCAACGAAGGACGAACACAGACAGTCAAGGCAAAGGGAGCGGCAGAGAGCTCGAGAGGCAGCTGAAGCGGCCGAGGCTAAGAAGAAGAGTGGAGGCATCCGCGCGGCCTTCAAGAAGCTGTTCTCTTAGAGAAAGGAATATCTATAACGGAAGTCCTAGGGAGTAAACACGGCGAAATTGAAAGAAAAAAAACCTGCCTATTACAAAACGAAATACCTAACGAATTTTTCGAATCCATGTAACGATAATGAGATCATGTTTCCGTTTCATTTCATTGTGTCTACTTACGTCTTACGTAGATGAGAATCCACGGCCAGGATTCTCGTCACGACGAAACGCTACTTCTCGAATTGTATTGTCACGATGTGTACGAAGAAAACATGTATGAGGATCACGGTTTCTCTCTTTTTTTTTTCTCCCTTTTTTCATGATAATGTTTTATTATTTTTTCGGGCATAATATGAACGTGGAGGCATTGTCTACGTGGTGATGTGGAAGGAATTTAACGAACTGTTAGGTTAGGTAGCTGTTATCTGAGTACCTAAGGTAGCTAGGTAGGAATGCATACGAGGTTAATTTCTTGGTGTGTAATTTGCATGCTTGACTTCTTTTCTCTTACTGGACCTATTGTGAGAACTCTTGATGCAATATTTAATATTAACGCTTGGATATTTACAGTGTTTATTCAACCACAGTGGGAGGTAGGTCGGTACCTCCTAACGTAGATGATATACAATGTATCTTCTGATCATCCTCATGCTGAACTGAGTGATAGCATAAACCTTCAAAGCACGCAGCTCTTATACGTTATAAATATTACCACTTTAAGAAAATCGTATTGGATAGACATAATAGGCAGTAACAAATACAATATAATGCAATGCAATACAATTTGCATCTAATACATAGACCGTTGCACAAGCAAGACTCCCTATAACAACTCAACCAAGCGTGCACAAGCCAAAGCCTATCTTCGCACTCTCAGAATCCTAAAAGCCAATGGCCTTCACACAGCGACTAGGTTGTGAAGAACCTACCTACCTATTCGTCGTAGGTATTAGGTGTTATTCGATATCTACGAGGTTACCTAGGTACCTACTAGGTAAGCCGTCTTACCTGCCACACGCAGGATACCTATCCAGTCGGCTACGAGCCCGAGGCCCACGATGACGTGACGTGCTTCCTTTTGGCAGGCCAGGCAGACATATGCCCCGTGTATAGCAAGGAATTAGGTAATACGACTATCTATCGGGTAGGTCTAGTTATGGCATCTTAGGTATAACCCGTCAAATCACATAGTTAGCCCCCCTCCCCCCCAACCTCTCTCTCTCTCTCTCTCTCTCCTCTTTTTCCCTCAACTATAAGAGACTCAGCAAGAGGATTAGGTAGGTAGGTAGGTAGGCAGATTATAATCTGAATCTCGAAATGCGGTGTCAAGTGTTAGGTAGGTACCTATACCTAGGTAGGTATGTATTTCTCGATGTGGGAAGTGATACTGTATAGAATCAGTCATATAATTAGATCATCATCGGCAGTTGTATACCAACCGATCCGGTATTAGAAATACCAGGTCCCTAACCTATGAGCTCCACAGAGAGAATCACATGCGCTGATACTCTTAGGTAAGTTTATCTGTCTCTCGTTCTCTTTCTCTGTTCCAAGGATTAGGTAACTACCTAGGATTTAACCTAGCTCTTCACATGATGCATTGTATACCTGTTATGGAAATATATAGGAGGTAGATATATGGTTTGAAAGACGGGAGCCACAAGTTGGTCTCATCTGAACCTGGGAAAGCTTCCTAGGGTTGCGCAGTTTTGACATGTGCATACCTCTAAGGCATTAGGTACCTAAGGCATACTGAACTGCCGTAGACTCTTATTATCTCCACCTATATTGTTTTAGGAAAGCCTGTCTCAAAATCGCTAATACATAGGGTGGTTGAGGAGGGCCATATCGTTAGTTGACCGGGACTGTCTGTTGATACCTTTGGTAGTGTATTGTATGCCCAGGACCCCAGCGAATGTCACGCATGCCTGCCGCATACATGATAGCCTATAATATGCTCTCGCCAAGCGGCCTAGAATCCGCATGTGTGTGCGTCGAAGGATGAATGAAGAAGCATGAATGATAAGGATATGCCTATCCCTAATCCTATTTTTGTCCACCACGCAGAGACACATACTGGCCCTTGCCTAGGTAGGTTGGTTGCCCCTCAAACTACCAAACCAGACAAATCCCACTCACGGTTGGAAGCCAATAACGTTGCTTGGTCTTTCCTCGAAGGCTGTTGATCGTGTTTACTTTAGGTACCTAGCTACCTAGTAAGAATAACTATAACAGGTAGATTATCTATTAAAACATGTTACTATTACCTAAGTATGTGGGCTTTCGTACCGCAAGACTACCTAAGGTAGGTAGGTAGGTAGGTAGACCTCTTTTGCCTCGCAGTTTCTCTTCTCTTCCCCTCTCCTCTTCGTTGATCTAGCCGTCTTATTTGGTTTTTTTGCATTACATTGCATTCAGAGCTTCCCTTTCAGGTTTAGCTACCTTGGGTAGGTACATATCTAGAGAGAGCGATGGACTCAGTCCCGCTATAGTTATTATAGTGTGGAGAAGAATTTTGTTGCTAATAAGTGAGCTCACTTTTGGTGGTGATGGTAGGAGCGGAAGGGGGGAACCGAGAACGATTGTAGATCTTGCAAGAGCAGCGGTGAATGATGTTTGTTAAGGTTCGCTGGGCCGTTCAATAGGTCGGTCTCAGGAAGAGGTCTGGGTCACATGCTCGTCTAATAAGCCAAGTCGTCGTGCATGTACGTATCGCATCGACTTACTCGAATCAGCAAATTAGTATCTGTCCAATCCCTTTTGAAAGCTTCCTTATTGGTGCTATGTATTATCATCATTGCGAAAATCGACTAGTTTCAATAAGTGCATATCCCTCCTTTCCTCCTCAATTATTATGTCGGGCCGGTACTATGTGAAAGTGATCTTCTTTCCCATTAAATCATTGAAGACATCATCGAGGGCCTTCCGCTTCTTGGCCTTCTCCTCACTGGCCTCGTCTATCAGAGACTCTTGCTCGTCTTCGTAATCGTCGCCTTCTAGGCGGGGTATCCACGCTCTGATTTGGCCGTCGAGGTGAGCGCTAAAGATAGCACCAGGCATGTTGCTACCGCCCATGACGACGCCGCTCGAGCTGCCGCCGCCACCTGCTCCCCTCCAGACTATGCTAGCGATTCGATTTTTGATGGTACGTTGGGCACCGCTGGTTGATCGAACACCTGCTACAGTTGGACCGGTTCCTCGCAGCTTCGTGACCACGTGGCCGTCGTGCAGGTCCAGAACGAGAATCTCAGTCTCGTTCGGCCAGAACAGTAGTTCTTTGTCGGGATGCGTTAGGCCCACCGGCGACGTGAACATGGTAACGCTTCCTAGTTGGCTATTCTTGATGTTCGGACCAAAGCTTGCGAGCGTATTCTTCCCGGTAGCGGCATCCCACACGCGGATACGTCGGTCATAACCCGCCGAAACGATGTACGCTCCATCGTCGGTCCAAGTTAGACCATTTACAGGAGCAGTGTGCGCTCTCGCCGACGCTCGAAACCTTGGCTTGCCATTGGCATCTATAAGGCCGTTGTAATATAGCCCTAAACTGTCTTCATGATCTAACATGCCAATGACCCCACCGGCCCGACGGATATCCCAAATTTTGACCGTCCCGTTAACGCTCCCGGTAGCGAGGATATGCTCGTGCCTTGGCGACCACGCAGTAGCCAGGATGGCGCCCGAGTGAGAAGCTAGAATTTGGATATTAGAGCCAGAGCGCAGATCCACCAGACGCACGGCAGGGTGCTGCGTTCCACATGCGACGAGCAGGTGTGAGGCGATTGGGGATATGGCGTGCGTATATGCTTTGAAACCGAGATTAAAGGAGGCCGATACTGCGGCCCTCTGGGTAGCCCACACTTTGAGAGACTGATCGTACGATGTTGAGAGAAAAGCAGCGGAGTCGAAGGGGTAGAAAGAGAGATGCGTGATGCCAAACTTGTGGGCTTGGTCCGAACGCGAGATCTTAGCGATAGGGGTATAGGTATGGGCCTTGGAGGGGTTGCCGCATTGTTCAAGGTCCCATATCTTGATAGAAGCGTCCAACCCTCCTGATACCAGACTGAGTTTGTGATTCGTTAGCCTACCTACCTACCTGAGGTCTGAGGTAGAGAAAGGAAATATCACATGCAAAAGAAAGATAGGAGGTAGGTTAGGTAGGTACCTAAGGTATCTATCTATCTTTTTCTTTTTGGGCTAGATACTCACATTCTACCGTCGAAGCGATCAAGTGCTAAGGCGTTAACACCAGCCTGATGTGCCCATAGCGTAGAAGTGGGATCTGGGGTTATTGACCCTGCCTCATCATTTCTAACAGCGGTACCTCTCTCACCTCCATTAAAACGGAATTCAGGTGCAGGACGAAACGAGTGTAGGAGCTGTGTGGTCTGTAGCCTAGCGAACACGTTAGGCCCAAGGCTCCCGATGGAACGTTCAAAAAGGAATTGATTCATTCATTAGGATTGAAGAGTGGTGAGGTCTAAAGTTAAGGGCGAATGAGATCAATATACTATATTTTATATATATGACAGGGAAGTTTAGGTATATATGACAGGAAAGTGATTGCAAATGTCTATTGGAGATTTTGTAAATGTCGATACGTCGTTGTTTCGTTGTTGCTAAGTTCAGAGCCGCATTTTCGGTTCTAAGCCGGGGAGAAAGAATATTAAAAAAAATAAAAAAAATAATGGAAATATTGCCTGGCTTAGGTACGTAATTTTACCGAAATGTAATTCTAGGTACCTAGAATTACGTAGTACCTATTGCTCTAAACTTTTAGCGGCCCCGCCAAGCTCTAATTCCAAAGTACAAACAGCCACGTACTCAGAATAAGGTTTTACAATACTAAAAAAGTTTATCGAGATATTCACCTGCAATTAGCAGATACCTGGGTAATTTTTTTTTTAATAGTGTTAGCACATTAAAAGAAGTGGATGTTCAACAACCACCTACCCAGGTAATTATAATGAAATGCAAATGACAATACGAACCACAAAACTACCTAAGGTACACTACTATCAATCGTCTGGCGCATAGGTTTAGAGCTTCGCAATCTACACGTTCTATACTATCATGTTACGCGTTTAAGAATGGCATCAAGAAACGCCAGAGAGAAGCGCTTCACAACAGCACCCTCTGAAGTAGATAATGATAATAACGCTATAGACACCGGAACCGAAGCTAGTGCCACAGACGGTCGAAAGCGGAAGCGCAGGAGAAGAAATGCCAACGTCTACGACGCGGTAGCAGGTTTGTTATTTTGCACTTTGCACTTTTCACGGTATATTTTGTGGCGACGTAGGTATATGTTGTTAACTGGCTGCGCTGCTAGGGCGAGTTACCACGACTCTTCCTCTAGGCGATGGGACCGAGTCCGAGTCCGACGAGTTTGATATACCGTCTCACCACGCTCGGACGTCGCGAGACTACCGTCGGGATCCCACGCTCGCGCCAGAAGAAGTCCTCTTTCGCCGCATCCGCGCGCCCGTCCGCTTCGCCGAGAAGGACATCTATCACGCGCACGAGGCGTTGCGGGACGGCGGCAGAGGCATACTGCCCGATAGCGACATGCTCAAGGCCATACACAGCTACTCCAGCCACTTCTACGCGGCACTTGCTGCGACCAGAGAAGGAGGCGAAGCGGGAAACTCGAGCATTGACGAACACAGTATGGACGAGACTGCGCTCCTCGCTTTTGGCATACTGCTCGAGGAGGCGAGCCGCAGCGCGCTCGGCAAGACGGGAGACTTGGTATTTACCGAGGGTGTGACAGTACGGAAGAACGGAGAACTAGGGGTTGGCGGTAATGCTGGTAATGCTGCTGATAATAATGATCATTATTATGATACTGTGGATTTTAAGGCGTCGGTAACGGGGCGATGATGTTGAAAGATCGCGGAGTAGTAATCTTAGTGGCGCAATATTAAAGCTGAATCGAGGAAGTCCCTCTCAGCTGGAGCCCAGCTATGTACGCAGGTACAATACAATACTCCTCCAAAAGGGTCAGGGCGAAATAGGTATCCATTGGTACCTAGTTGGACCTGACCGACGGCATGTTTCTCGGAGGCTTTGGGTTGCAGCGATGCTTGACAGGGTTCGCTTCCCAATTTTTATTTTTTCAATAATGCAAGGCTGATGGTTACGTAGCGATATGTATGATGTATGTAGGTTCCTTAGATTTTCATTCGGAGTTGAAAAGGTCTTGGGTCTCCGTTTGTAATGCATTGGGTAGGTCTCGTCCTGTCGCATGAGAGGAATCCCGCTGACGGGCGCGTATCCACTCGCCCAGTTGGTCGTGTCGTCCCAGCGAAATAAACCCACACAGCCGAGACCAAGCCCAGTACCGTTTGAACCAGGAAAAAAGGTTAAAGGGTCTTCGGTGCGGAGTAGCATTCTGCATCACTGAACTAGATCGCTGGGACGATCTTCATTGCCGCCTTTGGAGCTGACGCCAGTGCTAGCTGTCTCACTGTCTGGCTGTCTGGCAAGGCTATCCGAAGGATAACATGATCTCGAGCTTATTCTGACCGAGCATCTGGCGAATAAACCTTTTTCCCGCTGAATAATTTCTTTAAGAATCCTTTTAGTGGTCACATGGGACCCCTCCTGCGTTTGTGCGTGTGGGTATATGAGTATGATGGTATGAATGTATGTATGTGTATGTGTAATGTACGTGCGCGCGGAGCCAGGTCGGAGACGCTTTCAGCGGCCGCATGTAATGAGGCCCTTTCCCGTCCTTAGCCCCATACAAATAAATAATAGAATCAGTTATCGGTTGGGTCAAAATGAAGATTCTCGTACTGTAAAACAAGCAGTATGAAAATAGCTGACTGGCCGAATTTGGACGGGATGGGAACACGCGAAGCGGCAGACACCTGGAATAAAAAAATGAATAGAGAAAAAAGAGATAGGTCATAAAATTCCACTGAGCCGTGGCTCACATTCTAGCAGCGACGTAATGTAGATCTCCTTTTCAGAGGGTGTTCCAAGACCCAAGACGCGCTCTGATGCCACTGTAAGCTGTGCAGGTGCAAGCGATTGGGTATTGGCCTGAATCAAGTCCCTGCGCCAGACCGCGGTGGTATTATTATTATTTTTTCATACAGCGTGACCTATCTCCGTCCTCCGTTTCTTCAAATCCCGAAGCTGGAATTGGCATCTTCTTTAGTTAATCATGCCATGGCTTCCCAATACGGGAGTTGCGGACGGGCGAAGGGAATGAAGATGGAGTAGGAAATAATAATAAAACACACCGCAACGCGTTTCGCGACTTATAGGTAGATAGGTAAGAGGTAGGTATTTTTGGAGGGGAGTTAAAAGAAAATGATGCATCACATCTGCAGTGGCCTTTTAGGTAATGTATTACAAAACATAAAAATGTGGATAATTATGTATAAAATGGAATGGTATAGTACGGTTAGAATAAGTGTCTAGCCAAGTATGGGATGGTATATGGTATACGACATATTTAACCTGCTGTAAGTTACGTGATAGGGCCACATTTAGGTGACAACTTATGTTTTAAGAAGTATGGCAATTTGATTGATGGAGCCAAGGACCAGGTTAGAGGCAACGAAATGGCAGGTAACAAGAAGAAACAACGATTGATGGCATGTCTCAACGGTGTCATTATCACTACATCTGCATTATGTAGGTCTTCCTGTTGTGGGCCTTTTGATTGTTATGTAGTACATATAATTGAAGGTGTGGTAGAAGTGGTAGAAGTTGTGTAAGTGATATGAGTTGTGTGAAGTAGGTACCCTTTGTATGGTGTATGTACCAATCCAACTGTAACCAGACCAGCAAAAGAGAGGGAAAAAAAAAGAACAACAAAAAATACACAAGCAATCTTGGGTTAGGTACCAAATCGCAATGTTCCGCATTTGGCCTGCCAGCTTAATTTTTGCAGGTACCCATCGGCCAGCCAACCCCCCGGCCAGCTTAATTGCTTTTTTCACCGGTCAAGATACCCAGGTACTTTTGAACCATGGCTCCTCTGCAGACTTGCATGCTCTTCCTGGGGTTTGACAGGAATACGTGGGTACAAATAGAATCGGCTTTACTCATCTCGGTCTAGTTATTTGCGGCAATAGGGCATGACATGATGACAGTACCTAGGTACCTACCTGTAAGCATCTTCCCCTCTCCGGCCGGCAAGGTAGCGAGTGTCCCAATAATATGGATTTGGGTTTGCTAGGCGAGATCCAAACCCAATAGGTTTAACTTTATCCAGTAAAAAAAAACAAAAAAACTAGGTACCTCCTATACTTCATAATTCATAACTCATCATTCATCACTCGTAACTCATAACTCACAACTCATTATCTTAATCTAAAGCACGCAACGAATAACATCACGCCATACAAATTGGTTACACATTGGTAACGTTATCACAGAAAAAAAGGAAATGTATATATATAAGAACAAAAAAAAGGAGATCGGTTCATACCGACTCAATCAGCGTTCGCTTCTCCATATTTGGATCCAGCCCATTGGTTTCCACACCTTCCGAACTTGCCGTGTTCTTGGTTAAAACAGTCTGCGCCGCAAAAAAAAGGATCGCGGGCTATTCCATGCTAATGGCTAATAGCTGATGGTTATTGGTGTATTGCCCAGGAAGCAAGGGAGTAGCCGTCTGTCGGAACCCGAGCACGGCATGATAGTGATAGTGAGACTGAGACTGAGAATGAGAGTAAGAACGAGAAGATGGGGTAGGATTCAACAATCACCATGCGATAGGCGCAAAAAGAGGGTTGGTTGCTAATCACCTGCGAGATCATTATATCAGACGGGCAGATCTAACCCACGGAGTCGTTTCATGATCGGACGGGCACACACATGACCTCTCAGCCCTAATGTACACCTTGTCAATATTGTACGAAAGCAAACAAACTACCACCCTAGGTCCTAGATACTATCCCGTGTCAGCTCCTTCAAGATCGATGGCGCGTAAAAGAAAAGAGTAAAGGAAATAAAAAAGAAATAAAAAAAAAAAAAAAGGGGGGGGGGAGAAGGAGGTCAGCCATCACTCAGGTTCCCGTATGGAGGTCGATACGCTTATACGCTATATCCGAATAAGGGTAATTAAAGGCGAAGGAGGTGTAAGCAATCGTAAAACCCCATTCCTAACATGGAAAAATGACAATCCCGATGTGAACCGCAACATCTCTTGCTGGTACGGATAGACAAATACATACGGTAGTATACAAGGCTCCTCCAACTCCTAGTACTAATAGGTACCTAGAGGCTCTGACTTGGATGGATGCGTATATCGTGGGGTAAAGTGGGATTTTCTAGATCCAACAACATTTGTTGGGTTCAGGTTACCATCGAAAAATAAGGATCCTCACCTATAACACGTATTAGTTGCTCTGTTTAATCACCCAACTTGAGTACCTAATCGGCCCTCAAAAGCGAGTTGGAAATTAACAAGATGTGCATTATTTCCGTATTGCTTATTTCCGTATTACAGGTATGTACCTCTAATGTTGGGAAATGAGGTTGGTAAAGTAAAGACGAGTAGGTAACAGGTAGCAAAAAGGACATTACCGCATATTGACGACATTCTGGGCTGATGGTACAAAAGGAGTTTCGCAGCGCGATTCCACCTGGTTACTGGGAACGATATTGCACTCGAGGAACAGCTAGTGGCTGCATTACATTGCATTAGTTGCCGGGACAAGACGCAGAATATCGGGACAAACAAGCGAACTGCCGTCCTGTCTTTACAAGTCCACGCACGATATGCCTGTCTGTTTGTTTGCTTGCTTGTCCTTTCGTACGATAGGTATGTACCTAATGTAGTGATCTAGCGAGGCGTAACTTTAGACGAGGAGGTATGCTCTCTCTTTTTCTCTCTCCAACTGCAAGTTGAGTTAGCTATTGACGCAGGCACAACCAGAAACATCCTAACTAGTAATAATATCTTAAAACTCGGAACTCCGAGAGAAGAAGAAGAAAATCACACGTCTAGGTGGGAGCACAAATGGAAAAGACGAAGAGAATGCCATATTCGGCAGTAAACCCGTGGGGGTTGGAGTTCTGATATGATATGCCGCTGAAGCAAACAAGCCAACTTTGGGGGCTTTATGTGCGGTATAGGATTTAAATGATCCCTTTTGGGAACAGTAACTACATGGTACTGCCAGAAACCTTGAAGAAAAAAACGCTCTTGGCGGTCGATGGGAAAACTCATGACAGGGCTAAGCAGATCGACATTCTTCTGCCGTCTTTTCTTCGTAGAGAGGGAGAAGAGGGAGCCAATGGATTTTTTTTTCTGTTTTCCTTTCGGTACTTCGGTAGCCTAACGTTACAAGATATGGTGTGGCAGAAAAGAAAAAGACGCGCACGTAATATGCCTTTCTCGGACAGATCAGATCCTGTATTGTGCTTTTTGAGAGGCTGTCCCTTGCGACGGTTGGAGGAATGGCGTATTATACCCCGTCGTCGCGTCAGCTTACACCTGATTTTTGCGATATGTCATTATTTTGCTATTCCCCCCTTGCATGGTAATTTGATTGAGGGCGAGGGAAAAATAAAGAAGGGCCTGTGAAATCGTGCAGTCAAATCAAAAATTTGAAAGCGCGAAGCTACTACTATCGCTAACTCATTGGGCATTGATACTATTCTCAAAATATCGCATCAAGGCCTGATCGAACAGAATTCATGCCTTACCAGTCCTCCCCTCGTAGGGATCTACAATAGAGGGGTTGTACATACAAAACATACCCCTGGGTGGCGGACTTTTTGCCGCTAAGATGGCCAATCAGCGAAGAAGTCAAGGGCGTTTTTGGAAGGGCGGGGAGGACCCCTGAGGCCGCAAGGACCTTGGTGTAGCACTCTTCAGTTTAACTGGTAACGTCCAAACCCACGTGATTCCTACTTTCTGAAATATAACTTAGGTAGGTATCCTTATCCTTGATGAGTATTTCTACGACTTGGGTAATCGTATCGTATAAATTCGATGCTTGGCTAAATCCTAGAACATGGGATTCTTGTTGATAGTTATGATCCTTTCGGCTAGCTATCTCGGCAAAGTATTACCCCAATAGGAATATGTCAGATGCTCTTGTATGCGGTAGTTCTTCCAAGAGAGGAA